TTTTTGGGGTTTGTAAAGTCGAAATTATGTTAGATATTTTGATAGCCCAATATTTCTTTGTTCGCTCGGAATTTCGGTGTCAATGCGTTTTTGTAGCCAGTTTACCGCCCGTAGCGCTTATTTCCAATCGAAATTGATTTTCACGATGGCAAAATTTCGACATTGCAAGTGACAAAATAAATTCGATGGTCAACTTTTGGGGAGCTTGAAAATTTGAGTGAAATAAAGTGAATAATTAGTGTAAATCAGTTTTGTATCCTTGACGACTGACTAATTATTATAACAAGACCTTTTGGAGTCAGATCAAAGCAGAAGAGTTTAACTCGTTGTGAACACCGGAATTGCGAACTGAGGTCGGGTAGATCCTGAATAGCAATCCAAGATTCAACAACTACCTTAAATACGTACCTATTGGCAACTTGGACTGAATAGACTCTCCCTTATTAAAAATGTGCTGCAATCAGCTGTGTCAACAGAAGCTGCCAGAAGCATGATTCATTAGTCATTTTTTTATTTGAAATTGAAAGCTTGGTTTCAAGTCCATTGGACTAGGAGCGTAAATTTTAGCCTAAAACCTATTCAAAGCTTACGCTTATGCATGGATTATTCTGTATATTTATGAAATTCATTTACGCAAAAATTAGAGCATGCACATATATGCAGTTTGCTGCTATAGACGATACTTTCCAGCAGCTACAAATGAAAAAAGAAATAGGAAAAGCCAAATTTATTAATATTTTTAATCCAGATGCTACCCTTAAATTGCATAATAATTTGTATTAAATTAATAAAAATTAGCATCAAAACATAGTATACCCAGATTGGGTATTACCTCTTCATAGTATAATTTTTAGTTGTAAATAATTTTATATTGATTCATTGATGTACAAAGAATTCTATCTATGCTCCTACAAAGCATTGTGCATTGGAATCGGAGTGCTCGCTGCCAGCTGCAAATAGTTTGTAGCATATTGCATGGTTGCCAAAGGCACTCTTATGGAGTTTATTTCTGTTAAATATTAATTGCTTTTTTGGATCTCCTGTAAATGATTTAACATGTACATATGAGCAGAGTGATACTAACAATGCTAATAAGTTACCTATAATGGTTATTCTTTATTACTGAAATTAATACAGTTCATGACCATTTCTTATGAATTAAGTCCATTGGAAGCCCATTGCTTATTTTTTGGTTTGGACAACAAATAGGTGTTTAAGAAAGGTTGGAGTGTTATTCTTTTGACTTACCCAACCAATCAGCCGCCGAGCGCCAACCAGCCGCAGCCTGCAGCGCGCAGCAGCCTGCAGTGGTTGAGTAAATAGAATAAATGACATTTTCTATGATTTTTACTTGTTTTTCCTTTATTGATATGATATTACCATATACATTAATTACCATATTATTGATGCTATATTACCGTATCCATGAACATGCCATTGAGCATTTACAATAACATTGTCCACTGCAAGCTTCATATCAGCAGCCTTATAGCATTTTTTCTGTATTTGTAAAGCCCTGTCAGGCTGTCCATATGATCAAACTTATCGCCAGTCTTGCATGTCATGCCAGGTTTGACTGATTTTGATGGAAGACTGAAGAGCGTCCACACGCTCGAACTTTCCTTCAGTTTTTAGTGCGTTGGCAACAATGGCTGCCGGCCGGAGGCAGTGCTGCTCGCTGCAGTGATCGCAGTTTGTGCCACCAAAATTAGGTTGAAGCGATGCAAACGTTCGCTGTGGTCCCGAAAATGGTTTTAAGAAATGCCACAATGAGGGTTGATAGACAGCATCCCTACCAGCACCAGACAGCATTGACGACTACATCTTGGCACATTCTTTTTGATAAAGTTTATTTTCTTTGTTACAAAGTCTTTGTTTGCTGTATAATCAACTTCTTTGCTCTTAACTATCAATGCCGCATAAGCCAGTGCTCTCTTGTTCTTGTGACTAGCTTTTTGATTGAATTTGCCATAAACATGGAAACTACGATATAACTCAACAAACTGGCCAAAATAAATCGTGAAACCAGTGTCGGATATCCTGGGATATGAAAAACTAGAGGTAGCAAGGAACAATGTCATAGCTCTCAACATCAAAGACTGAGATACCCTTGAAAATTCTTCAGAACTGTATTTGATTTGTCTGTCTTAATAACATCAACATCTTGGGTTATTTGTTATAGCGTACAAGTTTGACCAATTAGTCGGTTGCCCGTCCACACGCTCAAACTTATCGTCAGTCTTGCATGAACCCAAAGGTCTTGTCTGTCCATCTTTTCCAGGTTTGTCAAACCTCAAACTCCACTCACACATCATGCAAGACATCAAACTTTGAGCGTCCACACTCCGTCTTGTCGTCAAACCTGGCATGACATGCAAGACTGACGATAAGCTTGAGCATGTGGATGGGGCTAAAGCTTACAGGACGGCTTGTAATTTCACACCATTTTAATTGGGTTGAGTGAATTTACTATAAAAAAGATCATGAAAAACATACCTGAAACAAAGGAATGTTTTAGTGACAACCATCGTTTGTTTTGGAGAAATAAATCATAGTTTAGGTCCATTACTTTTCATTCTATGATGCCTGGTGCACAATTTTATATATGACATTCTATGCACAATATTGTGATGATCAAAGATGCACTAATTTTTCTATAAGTGAAATTTTTTTGCTGAGCGAGGTAAATGTAATCAATATTCTTTGTTTTTAATCAATTTTTTTCTTAACTGGAGCCTTTGCTAACTGTGGTTCTACTGTAAATGTGTTTTTGGAGGTGTCCCGAGAAGCCCCGCTGTGCGGAAATGATCGCCATTTTTTTTTTGCATTGAGGGTATGTAAATTCCGCAGATAAAGTTTTCATGCTGACACTTGTCTGCCACTTTTTTCTAAGCAAAATTTTTTAATACGGCAAATATTTTTTACTACAGACCTCAGCAGAAGTAATGTTTCAAAAACATTGTTTTTTCACCATTTTTTTCAGGAATTTTTCAAAGCTAGTAAATGTAGTATTTTTGAACTTCCTTTATACTACATAGATAGGAAAAATGTTGACGTATATGCCACTATATTTAGTTTTGCAATATTCCAATTAGTTTTGCTACTGAAACAGTTTTATACCATATCGGAGGACTGTCCCGAGTTACCCCGCCCATCCGTTACCGTCAACCGGGGCTACTCGGGACAGTTTTGAGCGTTTTTTTGTTAATAACTTCTTATGATTAAACATTTCATGAACAAGTTTAGGCTCATTGTATAGCTCTTTGCGAGGGCTAGCGAATGGCATTGTCAAAAAAATTCCATATGCTATTCGTAAGGTGCCAGAAGCAAAAAAAGAGAGTCCCTAGTAGCCCTGTCGAACGGGGCTACTCAGGACACTTGGAATAAAACTTCATTTTATAACACTTCAAGCATGCAGAGCGTACTCATCCATTACTAACAGTACTCTGAATTTCTCCTCTTTCATTGTAGATGATGTAGAGGTAGAATAAATGACATTTTCAGTGATTTTCACTTGTTTTTCCTTTATTGATATGATATTACCATATACATTAATTACTGTATTATTGATGCGATATTACCGTTGTAGCGGTTCCCGGTAAGCCCGCACAAATATGCGAGACTGTAGCTCTTGAGTCCTTGGACATGGAAACAAATACTGAATGCGGTCAGAAGGAGTCACATTCAGGAAGGCATGAAACATAGAAAACACTAAACAGTTTACTACTAACTAAATGCAAAATACAAAATGGCAGATACAACAATAACTGGATGGTACCTAGTCTAACTGAAACACTAGCAGTGGTGTCAGTTCAGCCCACTTGGTGGTCTGGGTTAAGTGCTCTAATGAGTGGACCACTGAGGCCTCTCAGCGTTGTAGTTTTGAGTAACTACGAAATAATAGTAAAGTCATGATGGAAAATAGTTATTAACAGCTTCTGCTGCCGGATAATAACAATGTCTTACTCAAACATTATATAAGGCCAACTACGGTTTTAACAACCATAAATTGATTCAATTAACCATAATTGACATATTAATTAACCATAATTGATTCAATTAAAAACTGAAATTTTCAAAGCTTCATAGCTTTGATTATATCAAAGTGAAAATTCAATAGCATAAAAATCATAGTGCATAAAATGGGAAATTTTTAGATTTCATTTATCAGTTCCTTTAGTCATTTTTTGAGGTCATTTCTAGAATATTTATGTAAATAATTTTGTTTCTAGGTGTAAAGAATGGCGTGGCGATTCAAAGTTAGTAAGTATAAGAATGCAGTTGGCGTTGTTCCACGTAAAGAAGACTGGCTCAGTGACATCAAAGTTGGCTCTCCACAGTCATGTGGCAACCTCATCAAAGCTTCTGCTGCCTTCATGGCATTCAATGTCGAGAATAGAGGTATGTTATGGAGGCTTCATTTCATATCTATTTTGAATATGAATACAGTATTGATGCTTCATTAAGTTATATAAATATACCTATATATATATTATAAATATATATGTAAATATATATAGATATATTATAAATATATATATAGAAAATTAAAGCATGTCTAATTAGAAGATCTGCTGTATTTTTATCCATCATGTCACTAAAGCATCCAGCAGCAGTCTCATATCAAACTGTAGTTCCATTTATCTTGATGGTTCCTCTCCATCTTTGCAATGTATTGAAGGAGTTTTTCTTGCCTTCATCCCAACTCCAAGGTTTTATTTTAAAAGTTGAGGTTTGAATAAATAAAAGAAATCTTTGTGACATTTGGCACCCAATATGTTCACAAGACTTGAGCAACTTTCTCTATGGGCTTGGTGATATTGTATGCATGTGTTAGCTGGCAAGCCCATATGTGATATTTCTATTCCTTTAAGTTTAGGAAAAAATTAGCGCATTCTCAATGTTGAGATTAAACATGAATATATTAAACAAATATTCAATTATTAAATACTGTATGTACCTACATGATATTGGTTTCTTTGAAATCAGAAAAAAATTAGCTACAATCTCAATGTTAAAATTAAACATGACATGATACTATAGCATCCGCAATATAAATGCCATGCATATGTAAAAATTTAAACTTTCACTGAAAATTAACTTCAAATTTGAATTGGTCATCTGTAAATTTGGGAAAATTAGTATTTGTTTTTTTTTTTTTTTTTTTGCATGCTTGAATTTATTTCTAAACTACCGTGTGTATACAGAATAATTTTCTAGTCCTTGCTGGAAAAAATTGTCTGTAGATCCAGTCTTAAAGGGACCTGAAATTCTGTTATGATTTTGTCTGTATGAAGCGTTTGATTAAAATAAAATAATTTTCAGGTGGGGGATCCTTAGGAGTGATGCCTCTGAGCAGCAAAGGCCGTTTTGACCCCAACCACCCGCTGCTGCACGCCCACAGTGACCTGGTCACAGACTTTGACTTCTCCCCTTTTGATGATGGCATGCTGGCCACGGGATCTACAGATGCCTGTGTCAGTACTTCACCTACATTTACAATAAGATACACATTTTCCCATTGAATTATTTGTGATGAAAATGAAATGATTTTTGTAAGCAGTGTCAGTGCATTGCAGCAGTGCTATTTTCATTGCATTGAAATAAATTGTGCCTCATTGTCAATAACTACATTCAGACAGTAGATGGAATACAGGGGACATTTTTTTGTGCACTTTACTTTATTAGGTACCTTATCTCCTTGCATGGTTTGTATTTTGTAATAGTTATACTTCCAATGAAATTTTAAGAACCAATTGTAGGCTTTTTTTAAAAACCAATTGAAGGAAAATCACATAACTTTCACATTATGTAAAATTGAAATTATTCTCTTTGTCAGTTTAGTCTTCAGTAAGAAAGCAACAATTAGTGGTCACATTATGTAAAATTGATATTATTCTCTCAATTTCAGTTCAGTGTTCAGCAGAGTAACAATTAGATGTAATAACAGTGTTCTTTATTTCGGTTCAGTGTTCAGTAAGAAAGCAACAATTCAGTGGTCACATTATGTAAAATTGATATTATTCTCTCAATTTCAGTTCAGTGTTCTGTAAGATAGTAACAATTAGCTGTAATAACAGTGTTCTTTATTTCGGTTCAGTGTTCAGTAAGAAAGCAACAATTAGTGGTCGCATTATGTAAAATTCATATTATTCTACTTATGTTGGTTCAGCGCTCAGTAAGAAAGCAAGAATTAGCTGTAATAACAATGTTTTATTTGTGTTACAGGTGCACATTTGGCACATCCCCACTAGTGGCCTTGAGAGCAACATCAGTTCACCAGAATATTCCCTGCCTCAGTTTGACAAGCGCGTTGAGAACGTCCTGTTCCACCCTACCACCGAGTTTATTCTCTCCATTGCGTACTATGATACCATCAAAATCTGGGACATCTTACATCAGAAGGAAATTTCATGTGGGTTTTTTTGCTGCTATTTTAATCCCAATATATTGAGACTACAAATTGAGAAAATTGTTTGTTGGTCCGACGTCATTTCCTATATATCTCATTGAAAACATTCCAGTAGTTTACAGTCTAAGCCTTATCTTCATTATGTAGTTGATCTCAAATTATAATTACTTATATAAGTTTTAATACATGAATGAAATTTTTGGCATTGATACCAATGACTTTTTTTCCTAAACTGCAATATCGCGTTAAGAAATTCAATAATACACTTGTGTTGTCTTCACTACTGGAGCACTGTTTGCCAGACTCGCATGCTGCCAAGGTATCTTCACTATTGAATACTCTATTAATTTACCATCCATGCAGGCTGATAAGGTATCTTTACTATTGAATACACTATTAATTTGCCATCCATGCAGGCTGATAAGGTATCTTCACTGCTGAATGCACTTATGCTTTGCCACCCTCTCAGGCCGCCATGTTGTCTTCACTATTGAATGCACTGCAGTTTACTGTCTTTGCAGGCGACCAAGGTATCTTCACTGTTGAATGCCGTGATTTGTTGCCACCCTCACAGGCTGCCAAGGTGTTGTCACTATTGAATACACTGTTAATTTACCATCCTCGCAAGCTGACAAGCTATCGTCACTACTGAATGCCCTAATTTTTTGCCACTCTCGCAGGCTGCCAAGGTGTTGTCACTATTGAATGCTCTGTTAATTTATCATCCTCGCAGGCAGACAAGGTATCTTCACTAGGTACTGAATGCCCTAATTTTTTTCGACCCTCACAGGCTGTCAGGGCGCAACAGACCAGCTACAGAGCACCACATGGCGCGGCGATGGCTCTATGTTGGCCAGCAGCGGCAAGGACCGCGTGGTGCGCCTGCACGACCCGCGCGCCCCCCATAAAGCTGCCTTGGAGTGCAACGGCCACCAGAGCGCCAAAGACTCCCGCATCGTCTGGCTGGGAGACACCGACTCCATCCTCAGCACGGGCTACAGCAGCAGCCGCATCAGGGAGATGTCCTTGAGAGACGTGCGGGCTTTTGATAAGCCCGTCAAGACCCAGCAGTTTGATGCCTCTACGGGGTACGATGCTTTGAGGAGAGCATGTTTTATGTTTTAAGATCATTGTGTAATATTCTGGGTACAAGAGTTCAAGAGTTAGTTTCCTTATTAATCTCTTAGATAAAGTGTCTATTATATTGTTGAGGAAAAGTAAAAAAAATGAAATGTAGAAATATGAACCTAGAAATATCATATGGACCTCTTGAAAACACGTCATAAAGTAATATTTACAGGAGTTAATTGTAAGAACTTGTTGCGGTAAAATGACTGAATAAATACATGTATCAAGGATTAGCTGATGACCATTATCTTGCATGCCCAGAATACTGATGCCCCTGTACGATGCTGACACACGCATGCTGTTCCTGGCTGGCAAGGCTGATGTGAGCATCATGTACTGGGAGGTCACCAACAAAGAGCCCTACTTAACTGAAGGCTTAAAGCACACGGGTTAGTTTTTCACACATTATTTTCTCGTCTTCTGTATGAACTTTATCAGGTTCATAAGTGTTAATGTCCTTTTGTATGTATTTAATGTTTTGACGAGCGTGCTAGGGTATTTACCATCCAATGAGAATTCGTTATTGCTAGAGAACCATTTCCTAAAGTTCATTGATCAAGGATTGTTTACTGAATTGTAGCAGGCGTATTATCTATTCTGGAAAATATTAAGAATTGATAAAGTAATTTCAAATAAAACATTCTCAAAACGCACTGATTTCTTTCTAGATCTATCGTCTACTTCCCTATTGCACCTCATAGCTTGTTCGCTATTTCTCTGGTCTATTTATTTCATGATTTAGATTATAAACTATAATTTTCCTTCATTAACTTTATGAATGGAATTATATTTAGAATAAAAAAATTCAATTTGTTCGTTCATTATTCATGATAACAAGTTATCTCTTCCAGCATGTCTTCTTATATCTTTATTGATGATTGCAGGCAGCAGCCAGACTAAGGGGGCGTGCTTGGTGCCCAAGCGCGGCTTAGACGTCATGGCGGGAGAAGTGAACCGCGTCCTGCAGCTCACGCCGTCCGCCGTCATACCCATCACGTACCAGGTGCCGCGCAAGGTACGTATCATCACGTACCAGGTGCCGCGCAAGGTAAAAGGTACGTATCATCACATACCAGGTGCCGCGCAAGGTACGTATCATCACGTACCAGGTGCCGCGCAAGGTATGTACCATCACGTACCGGGTGCCGCGCAAGGTACGTACCATCACGTACCGGGTGCCGCGCAAGGTATGTACCATCACGTACCGGGTGCCGCGCAAGGTACGTATCATCACGTACCAGGTGCCCCGCAAGGTACGTATCATCACGTACCAGGTGCCGCGCAAGGTATGTACCATCACGTACCGGGTGCCGCGCATGGTACGCATCATCACTTACCGGGTGCGCAAGGTACGTATCATCACGTACCAGGTGCCGCGCAAGGTACGTATCATCACGTACCAGGTGCCCTGCACGGTGCGTACCATCACGTACCAGGTGCCGCGCAAGGTACGTACCATCACGTACCGGGTGCCACGCAAGGTACATACCATCACGTACCGGGTGCCGCGCAAGGTACGTATCATCACATACCATGTGCCGCGCAAGGTACGTATCATCACGTACCAGGTGCCGCGCAAGGTATGTACCATCACGTACCGGGTGCCGCGCAAGGTACGCATCATCACTTACCAGGTGCGCAAGGTACGTATCATCACGTACCAGGTGCCTCGCAAGGTAGATATCATCACGTACCAGGTGCCGCGCAAGGTACATATCATCACGTACCAGGTGCCCTGCACGGTGCGTACCATCACGTACCAGGTGCCCCGCAATGTATGTATCATCACCTACCAGGTGCCCCGCAAGGTGCGTATCATCACATACCAGGTGCCCCGCAAGATACGTATCATCACGTACCAAGTGCCCCACAAGGTACGTACCATCACGTACCAGGTGCCGAGTAAGGTACATAATATCCCGTACCAGGTGCCCCGCAAGGTACGTATCATCACGTACCAGGTGCCCCGCAAGGTACGTATCATCACGTACCAGGTTCCACACACGGTACAAATCATAATGTACCAGGTGCTGAGTAAGGCACATTTGCACCATTAGGTAGCAGGTGCCGAGTAAGGTACTAGCGCACCATTATGTACCAGGTACCAAGTAAAGTATGTATGCACCATTATATACCTGGTGTCGTGTAAGGTGCATAATTTTTTAAAATTAAGATGAGATGTCAAGACGCTAGCTTTTGCCCAAACACATCTAGCTGAAAGAGGTGGATGTGCTACTCAGTTTATAGGACAAGAACTATTTCTCATGGGCTCTGCTAATTTGACTCACCAACTTTGTAATTAATACAGAGAATTGTGTTTCAATCCCAGACATACCGAGAGTTCCACAGCGACCTGTTCCCCGACACGCGTAGTGCGACGAGCGCCCAGACCATCGAGGCGTGGGTGACGGGCGGCAACGCAGCTCTGGCGCCCCTCTCCCTGGACCCTGGCAAGCGTCACGCGCCAACACTTGAGGCAAGTGCTCTTATAAAATAGAGCGTGGTATTCTTAAATTACCTCTATTGGTTTTTCTATTTGTTTGGGACTCGAGTTGACCGTGTTCTCATTTTTAATTTGTTCTTCAAGATATTCATTCACTATAATTTCTAAGCTTGTATCATGACAACAGTTGCAGGTTGTGTATAGTATGAGATTTTCTAGTCGTTTTAGAATGTGTTCGACCATCACAAGCAATCTCCTCACAGTTGCTAATACTGTACAGCTGCACCGCGGTGTTTTGTCCGAGCGTCATGAGGAGATACAGAGCAACAAGTGCGAGGACAGCCACCTGCACAACAACGGTAATGCAGTGCACAGCACATTGGGCACGTCTACACCCTTGCCCGTATCTGCACCCGTGCCCGTGCCTGCTCCGCGCTCCCGCTCCTCAGACACCAACAAAACGCCCGCTAAACCGACCGTTGCAGTCAAGGTACCTAGTGCAAAAAAATGTTCACGATTTATATTTGGTTGGGCGTTTCAATTTGCTATTAAATCGCTGCAATTTACGATGCTACTAATCAATTAATCAATTTATGATTGCCTAACAGCTGCTCAGCTTGAATTAACGTTTTTTTGTTAAAAATTGTTGGGATTTTAAGATGCTTGATTTATCTTTATTGAAGAATCTGCCTCAAGATTTAATATGGGACTGCAATTCCCGACTAATTGAACCAGTCTCTTCACTCGTGTCATTGTGGGATTAGTTCTGATTAGATTCTTTGCTTCTAGGTATCATAATTACTATGCAATTTGTTGCTTATTGAATTAATATTTCTAATTCATGATTTACCTTTAATCACTTCTCATTGGTGCTCATTTTACTTAATTAGATAGTAATTAATCTGTTAACTAATCCGTGTTGGCTGAGCATGAGCTAATACCTAACAAACACGCCGTGTTTCGTTGACTTAGTATTATGATGGTCGCTGCCTGCTGGTCCACGGAAGAATCTCTTTCATGTCCGTCTAGTTCAGTGACACGCGTCTTCCAAAAGTTGCTCGGTGTGCGGGGGATTCAATAAGTCAGCAATGTTGGGAGCCTTGAATGTAAGCGATAGCCCCTTATTGCTGACATTTGTTTGTCAGTCGAGTATGGTGGTCCGTTATTGCTGACGCTTGTTGGTCAGTCGAGTATGGTGGTCTGTTATTGCTGTCGCTTGTTTGTCAGCCGAGTATGGTGGTCTGTTATTGCTGTCGCTTGTTTGTCAGCCGAGTATGGTGGTCCGTTATTGCTGACGCTTGTTGGTCAGCCGAGTATAGTAGTCCGTTATTACTGATGTTTGTTTGTCAGCTGAGTATGGTGGTTTATTACTGCTGACGTTTGTTTGTCAGCCGAGTATGACGGTCCGTTATTGCTGACGCTTGTTTGTCAGTCCAGTATGGCGGCCTGTTATTGCTGATGTTTGTTTGTCAGCCAAGCATGGTAGTGCCCAAGCCCGCCCAGCGGTCCAGCGTCGGGAACAACAAGCAGCGCAGCGGGCACGCTACCAACGGTGACGCCAACGGATCGCTGGGCTCCAGTTCTCTGGCGCAGATCAGGAAGACCTTCGAGGTGCCATCCCATCTGCTAGCTTTCATTTCAATGTAGTATAAACTTGGAGTTATCTTCCGTTATTCTATGACAAAAATAAACTTCAATGCACCTACTCAACTTGGAGCGCCAATTTCCGTTTGAAATCATTTCAATGTTGTATAGACTTGGAGTTATCTTCCGTTACTCGATGACAGAAATAAACTTCAATGCACCTACTCAACTCGAAGATCCAATACTAGCTGTTTGAAACTTTACATTATTTTTGGGGCTTTAGAATTGATTTTCGTTGATTTTGAAGCTTGTGACATGAGTGACGCATCTTAAATGAGATTTCAAACAGCATTAACATAGCACCTGTTGCTCTACTATCAACTTTTTAACTTCTGCTTTTACTTGTATGGTTATTCATGCTTGCTCGTCTTTGCCTTGTTTCTAGCTCATTGTTAAGTACTCGCCTCTAAGTTCTCTACATTTCTTCCCTCTTTGCCTAAAATTATAATCTCTATTCGTTGTTGGAGAAGAAGAAGTTTTCATTGCGTTTGATATGCATCGTATTCAGTGCTTATCATACACGTGACTTCTATAGATTTACATGTATTTTTTCAAGTACAGTTTTCTTCATGTATTCTGCAATTCAAACAATTTTTGTACAATTTATCCATTTGTTAAGTGTTTATAATTATAAATATCTTTGGAAAGAAATATAGGATTTTCTAGGTACAGAGATTAATTTTGCTTTGAATTGCAGAAAAGCGATTGCACTAAAGAGGAACGGGCCCGCAATTTGGAAAATTCTGCAGATTCCTTGGACCATGAAGTGGTGAGCGTGAACTTCTGAATTTGTTTTTATAGTTGCATTGAAATGATGATTTAAAAGTTTACTGTATATTTTACTGTGAATATTGTAGCAATTTATTTACATTTAAGATTTATTTTTGATTTAAGATTTTTGATTAAGTTTTTGGGTGTGGTCTGATATTCTGTACTAAAATCCACTGATTACGGTATTTATCAGAGATTACCTGTTTATTTGTCTTGATTATTTATTGTGTTGTTGGGGTAATGTTTTGTAGGTGAAATACGATACCGGTATTCCTTTTTCATTTACTTAAAGGATCTATGTAGAACTATTGTATTTTTGAAGTCATTCTAGTCATACAAACGATTGTTACAGCAGGACGAATCTTGCTCCAAACTCGCGTCGATCAGAGCACAGTTTGAGAACCGCAGCTCCTCGGAGGACTCGAACGCTGCCAAGAAGGAGTCTGAGGTTAGTCAGGCCATATCTCTATGTCTTTGTCCATATTTTGTTCTAAAATCATCGAAATCAACTCATTTTAATGATTCTACTATGAAACAAGCAAAACATGATGCCATGATTTATTTTTCAAACTATTTGACCAAAATTTTCTAATGAGACGCTTTTAATACAAAATTTGCTGATTTCAACAACCTATACAAATAATCAACTGTTAGCTGTCGTCATCACTGACCGACGGGCTGTTTGTTGTGTGATATTTATGTATTCTGATTGAATAATGTCATCATCTGCATCAGATTATACGTCTGCTGTTGGTGAAGCTGGCGTGTCTGGCATGTAAAGGTCGCAATGTTTTGGTTAATTCATGGATCTACGAAGATCTTTATTCAAAATTTTTGATGTCTGTGCGGAATTTTTTGGCATATTTTTGCGTTTTGATGTGATGTAGTATACAGTTTGTTCTTTGATTTGCTTGTAGCATGCGGTCATATTCTCCAGCAGTTGTTTGTAACGTGAGTTCTATGCCTCAGGAGTTTGTAACGTGAGATCCTATGCCTCAGCAGTTGTTTGTAGCGTGAGGCCCTATGCCTCAGGAGTTTGTAACGTGAAGTCCTATGCCTCAGGAGCTTGTAACGTGAAGTCCTATGCCTCAGGAGTTTGAAACGTGAGATCCTTTGCCTCAGGAGTTTGTAACGTGAAGTCCTACCGTCAGGAGTTTGTAACGTGAGATCCTTTGCCTCAGGAGTTTGTAACGCGAGGTCCTTTGCCTCAGGAGTTTGTAACGTGAGATCCTTTGCCTCAGGAGTTTGTAACGCGAGGTCCTTTGCCTCAGGAGTTTGTAACGTGAGATCCTTTGCCTTAGGAGTTTGTAGCGCGAAGTCCTTTGCCTCAGGAGTTTGTAACGTGAGGTCCTATGGCTCAGGTGGACCTCGGAGGTGACGAGGTGGTGACGCCCCAAGGCAGCGTGCTGCTGAGGGCGGCTCCTGCCTCGCCTTCGCTGCAGCGTCGTCACGCCACCACGCGATCCCGCTCCTTCCGTGCGACGCTTTTACCTCTTGCTCATAATCATATTTTTATTGCGATTTTCAAATGCAATGAACGTTTCAGCAGGGCATTGTTTGTAATTGATTGCCTTATCGTTCGAGTAGTAATATCTATTTATGTATAAAATCGTTAACCTTACCATTTGAATTAAGTTCGAATACTTTTAATTATTTTTCTAGTTTTACCGTTCTAGTTTTACCATTTTAGTTTTACTGTTCTAATTTTACCATTCTAGTTTTATCGTTCTTGTTGTACCGTTCTAGTTTTACCATTCTAGTTTTACCGTTCTAGTTTTACCGTTCTAGTTTTACCGTTCTAGTTTTACGGCTCTAGTTTTACCGTTCTAGTTTTACCGTTCTAGTTTTACCATTCTTGTTTTACCATTTTACTTTCCGTTCATGATGAAGTACATGCCGTATAAGTATGAAGTATAAGCCTTGCATGTTTGATGGCAGGTCGTATCTGCAAGTTCCGGCACCTGAAGGGTACAGCAGGCCACCGCAGCAGTCACATCGAGAACCTCCGCGACCTCAGCCGCACCACGCCCGGCGAGAGCGACGGCATCGCCTGTGAGTTCAGGACCCTGGGCTCATATTGTGAACCCTGGGGTCAGGAACTGTTCCTGAATCCAGGGCTCTGTTCCTAGGAACACAGTTCCTCTAGGAACTGTTCCTGTTCCTAGGAACACAGCTCCTCTAGGAACTGTTCCTGTTCCTAGGAAGACAGCTCCTCTAGGAACTGTTCCTGTTCCTAGGAACACAGTTCCTCTAGGAACTGTTCCTGTTCCTAGGAACACAGCTTCTCTAGGAACTGTTCCTGTTCCTAGGAACACAGCTCCTCTAGGAACACAGTTCCTCTAGGAACACAGTTCCTCTAGGAACTGTTCCTGTTCCTAGGGAAGACAGTTTCTCACTAGTTTAGGAAATGTGTTCCTAAACTAGAGAGCAAACCGCAGTCTTCTTGGTGCTCAAAAAACGGGGTTTCAAAGCAAGCAAGAACGAAGTTTACAACGGCTAATCGAATATGGGTTTGTGTGAAACGAGAAGTGGCTTTTAGAAAAATGTTTTGTAGGATGATAGAAAGCAGTACATAATTGCTCAAAATATTGTATGCAACTTGAATATGGCTGTGTTATGAGGTACTAGTGCGCAACTGAAATGTTATGCCAGCGCTGTATATATTACGTATGCTTAAGACAACAACGCATTTTCATCAGTAATATAAGAACTGCAATTATGTAGAAATGTACGTTCTGATATTATAAGAATCTCTGACAATTTTTCTTATTTGCTCACATCGAAATAAGAAGCAAAGTTTATTTATACTGGAGACCTCGCACACCAGTTGATTTTCACTTCTTGCGTTTTTCTCAAGTACGTATTTGGATGGCGTAGGTTCCATAACTTCACCCCTGAATTGGCCACCGTATGACATTTGTAGGATGACAGTGCGAGTTGAACTTTATTTCTGACAGCTCTAAATCGGAAATAATACTTAAAAGAACTTTTTTCCTCAAACCAAACAAAAATTTTTTTCCCAAACTACACCAAGTATAGTGCTTCTTTCTAAAATGACTTATTTGGTTTAAACAAGAATGTTTTCATACTAGTTTGTTGATTTTTTTTTTTTTTTTTTGAAATAAGTAAATAAGAATTGTCGCCTCTCCAGCACTTGAACAATAAAATGTTAATTGAAGTGAAAAGGCTGACCCAAGTCCTTATTTGCTATGCACAATTTTATGATACGGTATAGTGTTAAACTGCAGATTTTTTGACCATCAATTAAGAATGAATTCGTTTGGTTGGATTTTTTATCGCATTTAATATTTGCTTAACCTGGAATGCGATCGTGTATGGGTGAAAAATATTTCAACTGTCGCCGTTGCTATCAGACCTGACAACATGAGTTGCCATGAGCAGACCAAAGTCTAACTTAAGGTTCGTGCAGGCAACAGACCAAGGCCTAACTTAAGGTTGGTGCAGGCAACAGCTCAAGGCCTAACTCAATATTCGTGCAGGCAACAGACCAAGTCCTAACTTAATATTCGTGCAGGCAACAGACCAAGTCCTAACTTAATATTCGTGCAGGCAACAGACCAAGACCTAACTTAATATTCGTGCAGGCAACAGTCCTTAAGGTTGGTGCAGGCAACAGACCAAGACCTAACTTAATATTCGTGCAGGCAACAGACAAGACCTAACTCAATATTCGTGCAGGTAACAGACCAAGGCCTAACTCAATATTCGTGCAGGCAACAGTCCTTAAGGTTGGTGCAGGCAACAGACCAAGACCTAACTTAATATTCGTGCAGGTAACAGACCAAGGCCTAACTTAATATTGTTCGTGCAGGCAACAGCGTGTTCGTGGTGCTGCCGTTGACGGGTGCGGGCGGCAGGGTGACGGTGCTGCAGCACCAGAAGGGCGGGCGTCTGCCTGACGGCGTCATACCGGCCTTCCTGTGCGGCGCTGCCGTCCAGGACTTCGCCTTCGATCCCTTCGACGAGCACCGCCTCTTCATCGGTCAGACTTCAAATCGTCGTCGTAGTCTAAATATTTCAATGGTTATATAATCATAACTACATATATATATATTTATAGATTATATAAGCATAACTTACTACCTAAGATAAGTAAAAATATTTTTCAACGATCCCTTCGACGAACACCGCCTCTTCATCGGTCAGAATTCAAATCATCATTGTAGTCTAATTATTTCAATGGTTATATAATCATAACTACATATATATATATAGATTATATAAACATAACTTACAACCTAAGATAAGTAAAAATATTTTTCAATGATGATTTTGACGAACACCGCCTCTTCATTGGTCAGAATTCAAATCGTCGTCGTAGTCTAATTCTTTCAATGAATATAGTATAACCTATATAACCTAAGATAAGTAAAAATATTTTCCAAGTTTCTTTCAAAGATCTTGTCAATTTCATGTAATAATAAGTTATTAATGTCGTTAGCGTGAACGATGTTATGTTAGTATTCGTGTCCAGGTTGTGATGACGGCAACGTGCAGCTGTGGCGAGTGCCTGAGGGCGGCCTTCTGCACTCCAGCAACGAGCCTGAGGCAGTCTTGTACCATACCTCTGATAAGGTATACATGCCTCTACCACACCTCTGATAAGGTATACATGCCTCTACCATGCCTCTGATAAGGTATACATGCCTCTACCACACCTCTGATAAGGTATACATGCCTCTACCACACCTCTGATAAGGTATACATGCCTCTACCACACCTCTGATATGGTATACATGCCTCTACCACACCTCTGATAAGGTATACATGCCTCTACCACACCTCTGATAAGGTATACATGCCTCTACCACACCTCTGATAAGGTATACATGCCTCTACCACATGACTGATCTGATTCTCCTCGAAATTTCATAACTATTCCGCCCAATAGGAATCGATCACTCGGTCGTCCTTCTAAAAAATTAAAAATTGTAGATACGATATTTGTTGAGTTACGCGGACCGAAATTTAATTTTTGACATATTATATTTTATCTCTAATTACAATTTTGCGTCAAATAAATGTCAAATTTTGAACGACATTTTGAAACAAATTCAAATTGAAGTTCGAGTGTCCGATCTGATTCTGCTTGAAATTTTATTTTGAAATTTTGCTTGAGACAGCTGTGGGTAAATTTGAGTGGAGAGCAGTTTATGCTTCTGCGTAATTTGTGTGTAGATTTTCAGTCAGAATCTGTTGAATAATTCCGTGCATGAACTACGATGATTCCTCCCACGAACTGGGCTCATTGTGTGAATGCCACGACAAACTGCATGGATTATTACCTGGTTTGCTGGATTATTACCCTGGATTATTACCCTGGAAGATTACCATGGATTATTACCCTGGAAGATTACCATGAATTATTACCCTGGATTATTACCCTGGAAGATTACCATGGATTATTACCATGGATTATTACCCTGGAAGATTACCATGGATTATTACCCTGGATTATTACCATGGATTATTACCCTGGAAGATTACNCTCCAACACCTTCCAATACTCCATTAACAAAACCTAACAGAGTATGTAGACTGTTGGGTTTGTTGAAATAAATTTTCAAATCAGGATCACGAATAGTTATAACGCCTGTCTCTTATACACATCTAGATGTGTATAAGAGACAGACCCTGCCTTCAAATAAGATTTAAGTACATAAATTAACTCACACCAGACACTGCAATCAAGTCACGCTTTGTAGGATCGGCTACAGTGTACTACTTATAATGTTTAATTACACTGTTATAGGTAATGAATATGTTGACTTGTGTTGCCGTGCAGGTGTTCTCGATGTCGTGGTGCTGATAATAACATCGCAATGATCTCATTGTGTTGCCGTGCAGGTGTTCTCGATGTCGTGATGATGATAATAACATCGTAATGATCTCATTGTGTTGCCGTGCAGGTGTTCTCGATGTCGTGGTCGCCGTGCAATGATCTCATTGTGTTGTCGTGCAGGTGTTCTCGATGTCGTGGTCGCCGTGCGGCGTGTACCTGGCGACGCTGGCCCGGGACGGGCTGGTGCGCGTGTTGGACCCTCGCAAGAGCGGCGGCGCCTGCAGGGAGGGGCCCTCGCACCAGGGCGTCCGGGGCGGCAGGATCCTGTGGGCCAACGACGGCAACTTCATCATCACTTGCGGGGCTTCCAAGTCAGTGCACCCTCGTGTCTCATCTTGTTTTGCTTACATGGCTAGGAAATTTTGCAGTTCTGCCTGAAATTTCAGCTCCAAAGTTATTAATATGTAAAACGGAAGTGCTTGACACGTCATCATAAAACTGAAGTTTTATGACGAGTTTGTTTCGATCCCCTAAAAGTTGAAGAATTTTCAGTGTACCACCTTTTACTGCATGCTAGTCTAATATTTTTATACTCTTAACTATAGAAAATAACTGAACTTTGTTTTGTGTGTAACGATAGCCATTCTCACTTTATAGTTCGTTATCGTTAATCGTTGTTGTGGTGTGAGCGCAGGTCATCACAGCGCGAGGTGTGCGTGTACCGCAGCAGCGACCTCAGCGCCGCCCTCCACACGCTGCCCCTCGACCAGAGCCCTGCCATCCTCATGCCCACCTACGACCCTGACTCCTGTACCCTCTTCCTCACTGCTAAGGTACTATTACCCTTCTACTCTCATGTTATTCATTAATTTACACGGTTGCCGCAATAATTATTCAAGCGGTTGTTACATGAAGAAAGTTTACTCAAATGACCCTGACTCCTGTACCCTCTTCCTCACTGCTAAGGTACTATTACCCTTCTACTCTCATATTATTCATTTATTTACGCAGTATCACGATAATTGTTCACGCGGTAATTACATGAAGAAAGTTTACTCCTAATTAACAACCATTTGTTTCTCCCTGAAGTTCTTCTAAATCAAACCAGTACAGCTCTCCTCTGGATAAATTTATTGTAAGTGTTAGCAGAGGTTTACCGTCTCTGTGCTGTCCAAACTCGAATATTATTTCCTTAATATAACTGACAGGGCGAGAGCACCATCCACTGCTACGAGGTTGGCGCTGATGCTCCCTACCTCTTCCCGCTGTCACATCACAAAGCTTCGTCTGTGCATCAGGTAAATATTGATCATCAATGCTTAGAGTTTTGGACGTGCGAAACTATGCATAATGCTTTATATTAATGAAGAAGTACAAGAACAATTGCTAGCATTTCTCACTCTGCTCTGGGAGTACATTTGTCAAATGGTATATATTTTTGGAAGGACTCTTGTCCAGTCTTCCGTGAGCATTGAAGAAAAACCTTTTGTGTAATCTCATTCAACTTTGGATCTTATCAAGAATTGTCATATCGTCACGGTTTTTACCGTTGAATGCAGAGATACGAATGTTCTATGTGCGTGTTGGTTGGCCTTGGGCGTTGTTTATTTCGTAAATTATTCTCAAGGTGCTTCAATCTTGTGAACCAGAGAGTTTACGAGCTGTGAGTTATCTTTTAACTGCATTGCAAAACGTTGTCGAATAGAACCGAGACTTGTGTGCTATTCTTCTAGTGCCTGACGTTGCCAAATAGACCCAGGACTTTAGTTCTAACCGTAGTGAGCTGAAGTTGCCAAATAGACCCAGGACTTAAGTTCTAACCGTACTGGCCCTGACTTTGCCAAATAGACACAGGACTTAAGTTTAACAGTACATGGCCTGAAGTTGCCAAGTAGACCCAGGACTTATGTTCTAACCACACTGAGCTTAAATTGCCAAATAGACCCAGGACTTGAGTTCTAACCGTACAGGGCCTGACGTTGCCAAATAGACCCAGGACTTACCGTATGTTCTAACCGTACTGGCCCTGAAGTTGTCAAATAGACCCAGGACTTGAGTTCTAACCGTACTGGGTCTAAAGTTGCCGAGACCCAGGACTTAAGTTTTAACAGTACTGAGCTTAAGTTGCCTTATAGACCCAGGACTTAAGTTCTAACCATGCAGGGCCTGACGTTGCCAAATAGACCCAGGGCTTAAGTTCTAACCATGCAGGGCCTGACGTTGCCTTATAGACCCAGGACTTATGTTCTAACCATGCAGGGCCTGACGTTGCCAAATAGACCCAGGACTTATGTTCTAACCATGCAGGGCCTGACGTTGCCAAATAGACACAGGGCTTATGTTCTAACCGTACTGGGCCTGATGTTGCCAAAAAGACCCAGGACTTATGTTCTAACCGTACTGGGCCTGATGTTGCCAAAACGACCCAGGACTTATGTTCTAACCGTACTGGGCCTGATGTTGCCAAAAAGACCCAGGACTTATGTTCTAACCATGCAGGGCCTGAAGTTGCCAAAAAGACCCAGGGCTTATGTTCTAACCGTACTGGGCCTGATGTTGCCAAAAAGACCCAGGGCTTATGTTCTAACCGTACTGGGCCTGATGTTGCGAAAAAGACCCAGGACTTATGTTCTGTTAATATCTGATTGGTCTGCGCTGGTGTTGCCGAATGGTTGTGACGTCACACTTGTTTGGTCGCGAGATGGCTTTGTGCTGCGCTCTGATTGGTTCGGGGAACGCCGGTAGCCTACGTGGCGTGGGCTAGCTGTAACATGACGCAAGTTGGCGGCAATGCAGTTGGGGACAGGAGTCTAGCGTGAACCATGATAGGGTGAGCATCTTGCGAGCGTGTGCTATTAAAATGTTCTAACCGTGCAGGGCCTGACGTTCCTACCGAAACACACGTGCGATGTCCGCGCGGTGGAGTTTGCGAGGGCGCTGCGCCTCACCCACAGCACCCTCGAGCCGCTCTCCTTCACCGTGCCCAGAGTCAAGGTGAGACCCGTGCTCGTTCCCGCGAGCTTATGTTAACAAAATGTTAATTCGACGTGGCATGATGAGCCAGGTACTTGAAAACATTTACAGAATAGTGATCATTATTCATATTTGTACCACCATATTATTAATAATATTTCACCGCAGCGTAGCCGACGAGTTTAGTAATGAATCAACAAGCATCGCTTGTGAATCCGGCGCCAGAGATAAACTTTTGTTGTGTGGCAACTGCATCGACTAGATACCACATGAGCTTGATCTAAACAACAATCTAATCTAAATTTAAAATACCGGTAGACGTTCAATCCGTTAACCTAAATCGAACCTATGCCTCCAATCCATCGAATCTAAACCTGATGAACCAACTAATCCTTCTCATTAAATGCCACAGAAATGAAGATGAATAAAAATATTATTGGCGGTCACATCCCTTGACAATGAAAACATCTGAACCTTGCTTGACTGCAGACATGATTGACTTCAGACTTGGTTGACTGCAGACTTGGTTGAATAGAATAATGGTTAAGTGCAAGTTCCTGGCCAATTATTAGCAATTGCAAAACGTTGTAGTGTGGACGCGGTAGGATCAAACAAAGCTGATGAATTCATCTCATTTGCATTTTTAATTCTGAAAAAAATAATTTAGAGGCAAGCTCAACGCGCATTTTCTTCATTTTCATACAAAATGGACTACAGTCTAGCGAGATGCATAAAGATATTTGTTTGCAGACGAACCTGTTCCAAGACGACGTGTTCCCTCCGACCGCCGTTACGTGGCAGCCTCGCCTGTCTGCAGCTGAGTGGTTCTCAGGCCTCAACAGACAACCTCTCCTGGTCTCCCTGCAGCCTGCAGACATGGACACGCGTCAGTTACTAATGATCATTTGATAAACCTTGCACAAAATGTCCAAAATCGTGGTACGAAGGCATTCGAATTATTTTAGAATTTATTTCTTGTCTTCATGCAACAATGAAGGAAGTAAATAATTTACATTAGCTATCGTTTTGACTAAAGTTAATCCTGATCATTTGTGGTAGCTTCTCCTGAAATAAAGTTTCTCAATATCTACAGGTTTGTTTAAACATTGACTAAGAGAATTAAGTGGTTATTTGTCATCAGAACTTGTATTAATTGTTCTTGTCAATTTGTCATGTCCTTAAGATGATTGGCAATGTTTGTGTACGACAGTGTCGAGCAGCCGGGAAAGTCCCCCCAGCGAGAGCTCCCCCGCCCCCTCACGAGGCGTGTCCCTGGACGGCAGCGCTGCTGAGGTCCTCTTCAACCCCGCCATCCCCGAGCATGTGCGCCACGCCCAGTCCAAGGTGGGACTTGTGGTCGAGATGCAGAGCGTCACATGGTGTGACAGCTGGTGCATCTGTAGTCGAGACTTCACATGGTGTCACAGCTAATGCATCTGTAGTCGAGACGTCACATGGTGTCACAGCTAATGCATCTGTAGTCGAGATGCCGAGCGTCANCGAGACGTCACATGGTGTCACAGCTAATGCATCTGAACTATTCGCTCTGCTATAAAGTTTGCTCTTCACAAATGTTGTGAACTTCTCATTTGATGGCGATCATCTGTCACCGAAACTGCCCTTGAACAGGAACCGAGTTGCTCGATGATTGTAGACCTGGCCTCGTGGAGTGCCCAGAGAGGGAAATCTTTATTGATTTATCTCATCGTACAAAATTTTTGGCGTTATCTCCTTTTCTCAATATTACAGACTTTCCATGCATCTCTTGACGTTGATGTTTTCTCATGAATTCGTTTACAAGAATTTGCCAAGTTATCGACTCGGGTTCTAACCGCTGGTTTAACAAAATTTAGCTTTCTTATTGTTCACAGGAATGAGCTTCATTAGGTTTTCTAGCCCATTTTCTAGAATATGTTCTCTCAGCCTCGGTATTTTTAGCGCATTTTCTCATTTATGTAAAAAAGGCGCTATTATGCTCGTCATGTCCGTCCGTCCGTCCGTCCGTCTGTCTGTCCGTCCGTTACCACGTTTTCGTCGACGAGAAAATGCGCTCTCTGTCATTCACTGCAGTGAGTATTGAGTTATATTTGAATGTATTTTTGTTCAGCTGGAGCACAGCATGTCGGAGCAGATCAGCGTGAGCTCGGCCCTGGAGCAAGACCACTTCGAGGGCGTCGAGAAGGAGGAGTGGACGGTCAGTTCTGTGGCTCATGACACTTGCTGTGTCGAGGCAGGGGATTGGGCTTGTAAATTATTGTTTTAATTCCTAAATGCTGCTGTAATGTGCTGATGATGCTCGACATTTTAGCGAAAATTATGTTGGTGATAAAATCGCATCCTGAAAACCGGGTTTAGAACTTTTTCAGGTATTTTTTCTATTTCAACTAAGGAAAATAATTTCTTTTTACCCATAGTTAGTTATTCGTTTATGTACGAACGCACATTTTGTAATGCCAGACACTATTGACCGAGTGCGATGCTTGCAGGAGGACTAGTGGGGAGCGTGGGCCACGCCATCCATGCAATCCACGCGCCACGCCATACACGCAATCCACGCACACGCACCTGGAGGCCCAGTGATGGAGGCCAAAGCATCACATTCTCAGTGATGCTCGAGCTGGACCATAGTCTTGTTTGTCGCTTTCTTCGCTCTCACACTCATTAAGAGTGAAGTTCCTCTTACGAAAATAATGAACGGGTGAAAATTTATCGAAAAGTTCTGCTGTCGTTCCTTTCTGCACATGACATCCTCGGGGTTCCGTGGGAAAGATTGTTCGTTATCCTCATTTTCAACTTCCAGTTTTCCAATTTTAGTATTACGAGTGTTATTTATTTACTGCGCCACTAAACCATCTTCAATGTCACTCCTACATATGCCTTTTTTTATCTTTATATCGATTATCGAGCTTCATTAATTGCCTATTAAGCGAGAATTTATGAGCAAGGGAAATTTATCTGCTGCTCCAGTTTTCTTCCACTGTGAACGATTTTCAACAAAAATTATTCATGCATGTTTTCAAATATTAATTTTTGTTGTATGAAATACTCATTGCCGCGCAATGATCTCGTCGAGGAGCTCGAAAGTGCCTCCTGGATTTGACGCTCTCTATCTCTGATGCTGCGTCTCTGAGAAGAACAAAGATACGATGAAGGTTGTGGCTATCCATAACAGTTGAATTTCTGCTTATCAGTTTGTTCGATTGTGCTTTATTATTGTTATTATGCTTTAATTAACGATGGATTTTGTGATGCCTTATTTATTATATTTACGTTTCAATATTTATTACTTTAGTAATGCTTGGGGCATAATTATTTTATTTCAAGTATTTTGTTTAACGCGTGCTGCATTCATACTCGTATTGTATAATTTGTATTGTGTAGCAGTTCGAATTTTGAACTGTGAACTGGCCATTGAAAATTACACGTTTCTAATTTTCTATATTCAGTTTGAAGCTCGCGCTGAGACTGGACAGCCATTCCTATGTGTTATGTACGCTTGCTTGTTGTGATGGCTCGGAAAATTATTATGCTATTGCTCTTTATTTATGATGGCATCAGAATCATGCAATCTATAAGCATCGGTCTGATGAATTATTTCAACAGTTGAATTGTAATGTTAGACTGCATTTACCACGAACTGTATCAGTTTGCAATGCTGGGAGTTAGAAAAGAGACAAAGTTCTCTTTGTTCGCACTGTGTCTCGTTGCCCTAGCGCAGCGATGTCACGTTTCTTGACTGCCAATAGTGCCACAGAATATTTCTTGCCAATACTCACTCATAGTCTTGTTCGTGATGTGTTTTGTGTTACTGAAGCTTCGTCCTGAGCGAGGTTATTCTCTCTCCGGCTTGTGTTGGAGGTTTCCACTGGAAACTTCGCCTTGCATTGATATTATACTTGTGTCTTTGTAAGCCTTTAGATGCTTTCCTTCGTGGGCCGAGCTTTATTAAATTAAATTTATTAATTATTTCAATTTGTCATGTCAGATGCACACTACCAATCCATGTATTTGCGATTCCATTACTTTTTTTTACTTGATCAAGCGAACAACAGATGTGCGCCTCATCAGACCACTTCATTTGTTTCATTTTCTCTTTGTCGTTTAACAAATAATTGTCTTTCATGAACTGGAAATCAAGAATAGATGAGCTGCAATGGGCCTCCTTTCAAGGGACCAGAGACATGCGCGGTGTGTGCTGGAGGCCGTTCACTCAACGCGAAGTTCCAGACGTTGCCGGTCGCAGGTCTGGAACGCGCAGTTCCAGACGTTGCCAGTTGCAGGTCTTTAACGCGCAGTTCCAGACGTTGCCAGTTGCAGGTCTTTAACGCGCAGTTCCAGACGTTGACGGTCGCAGGTCTTTAACGCGCAGTTCCTGACGTTGCCGGTTGCAGGTCTGGAACGCGCAGTTCCAGACGTTGCCGGTTGCAGGTCTGGAACGCGCAGTTCCAGACGTTGCCGGTCGCAGGTCTGGAACGCAAAGTTCCAGACCTTAGAGTTCCACTCGCACAATATCACTAGTCATAATAACTCCTTAGGATAAAGCGTTATATTTAGGCGTTGCGCACACACAAAGCATTTGGTCAATTCGGACAATAAGGCCCTAGACTTAAGATGGTCGTTTTTGTACCTCTTAAATTTAGCATCACCAAATAATCCCGCCGGCTTGCTGTCCTGTCAACTCGAGTGCCTCAATCATTATTTATTATCTTGACTCTCGAAATTGTTTCATTCAATTTATACAGCGAAGAATAATGCCTATGTGAAAATGAAGTATAAATGCGAGGGAGTCGAGGGATGCTTTCAGGTCTCCCTCGTTGTATCAGAGGCCAAATTATCGGGCCTGATGAAAATGGATCGCAACTCAATTGACGACATTTGGCACGCGGTGCTCGCATTGACAGTGGGTTGCTGTGCGGTTAAAAGTTTGCTATATTTTTTCATGCATTTTGTAGCATTACTGAATATCCTAAGACTTCTAACGTAAGTCATAATTCGCTTAATTTTTTTCTATTCGCAATCGGCATTCCTGTTCTTGACGTAGTGCGTGAGTTGGGCATCTAATCCCGATCCATTTCTCATTGTTGCTTATCAGGCAAACTATCAGATTGAGGTTTCGTGAATTCATGAATTATTTCTTGAATTCATTGCTGCAATTTCCCCATATTTGAAACGAATATTTGTGCCTACGCTGAGTCACGCCCGCCTCATTCCATTTATCTGCCTGGCATTGTTCTTCATTTTTCTTCTGTTTTTCCTGTTAGGATTTCTCTTTTAAAAATTGTTTGTTCGTAAATGCCTCAGAATGATATTAAAATTGTCCAAAGAATGGCTTAGTATTAACATCTGTGATTCTATTCTAAATCCTATTGATTATTTTCGTTTATATTTACCTAATAAGCCACTGTCTTCAACCAAAGACCATTCCATATACTCGTGCAGTCTTTGCCCTGCAACTGCAATAACTAACCAAAGGCTCCAAAGGTCTGATATTCGTCTTTGAAGATGGTTAATAGTCTACATATTTGACGGTGCATCCATGGCAACCTCAGAGCAACGAATAAAATTTTGCGTGATCCCTATGGCGATCTCATAGCTTCACACCATCTCTACTTCTGATAATTGTGTGTGAAGCTGCATTGCGATAACTGCTATCGTAATCTGTGTAATATTTGTATGAGAGCTACCATGTGTTTGAAGCTGCATTAAGTTCTGTGTAATGTTTGTATGAGAGCTACCATGCTTGCCTCGCTGCCAGTGTCTGATCAGTATTTCTAGTGCATTCCTCGATGTTCGAGTTCCTTGCAGGAACGCTCTTTCCATATTGCCGGCACGTTCCCATAGCATTCGTGCCAATACTCTTGCTGTGTTTAGGTTGAGAATAGCGGAGTTTGCCATACATGCCGTCGACAGCAAGAGTTTCATCCGTAGTACAAGAATGGTTCTAGAGCGCATTATTGCAAGACAAATAGTAGCCTTAGTGTATTTAAGGTCATCCATAGTTACTCTAATGTTAATCGTACCGCTTTTTACATGTAGCGTTTGCATTTTATACATGACGCTGTCCGTAGCATATAAAATATAGGCTTTTCTTACATTTTAATCGCTATACATTTAATCATTTACATTTAAGCGCCATTTGCAATCAATTATTCAGTTGTGCTTGGTTCATTTTTTATTTTTTTGCTGAAGTAAGATTAATATTTATTGAAGCTTTGCTATTTATGTCCCGTCTTGGCACCATTAAGTGCTGTAGTCTGGTGTAGTATTGAGTTTTGAATTCTGCATTTCACGCAATCGCCTGATTATGAAATTGTTCTATATCTCGAGAATACTTTTTGGCTGTATTGATATGGCTACAAAATTATCTTTAAAATCGTTGTGGCTTTGATATTCGTCACGGGTTATCACTCTGGATTCCAAATCTAAAGGAGTTTGAATTTTTTATAAGGACGTTTTGCATCCTAGAAATGTTCGTTTATGAGTGGACTGATGGACAATCTCTTGACAGACCATCAGTGCAGGACTCACTTGTATCCAATACATTTATGCGAAGAAGGAAGTGATCATTCGCGCAGAATTTACATGTAACAATAAAGCAGCGAAAACGAATTCAGCTTCGAAAGTCTTTGCCTCATTATTGACCTAAGAACTCGTTAAGGTTCTTCTATGATATCCCTCTACTACGTTCGCGCTGTTTTAAATTTCATAAGTACTTATATTATCAGTCTGTTTATATCGCAAATTCACAAGGAATTTAAAAGCAAAGAAAACTCCAAGCAAATTCACCATATCGATGTTCAATATCGATATGGTGAATTTGATTGGCGGTTTTTTTTGCTTTTAAATTCCTCTTGAATTTCATGTTTATTTTGAAATGCTTGTTTTGAAATTTTTGCAATGGTTTCTACAATAATAGTTTATTATTTTGCTAACATTATATGCGTGTCACGATGCAAATTTTTCATTATCCTGACAAATACGTGGGCGATTTTTCTGTTGAGTCCCTAGGGAAGGAATACACGTTCTCCATGTTGCCGAACAGCACTGCGACAACTCAACATTCGCCCCTAGGAATTGTTGATTAAACAAGCTCGATATTGGTTCGTCACTGACGTTTTGGTCACTGAAAACTAAACCGTAGTCGCACGTTACGCTGAACGAGGTTGACAGGAGGGAAGTAATCAAGAGGAAAGTTTGATTGCATGCGAGGAATTGAGAAGCTCGAAATTCGTCCCGTAGCTTGCAGAAGAACGGAGAAGGATTTTGATTTAAATTGGTGAAGTTTAACGGAACAATTGGCCGTTGAAAATTGTTATAAGACTGAATCAGCCTTACACTACGTATGTGGTTGTGCCGCCGTTTCATATATTTTTTCATTTAAAAATTAAAAGGCTGCAAATCCGCTTGACCAGCTCAAGATGCTTCACTAAGCCCACGCTGTGAATTTATTGCCGGTTAAAAACTGGGTTGAGCGTAATTATGATTGCTTAATAACTGTTAATTAGGTGAGCTCAGTTGGCGAATCAAACGCTGATGCTATTCGGGCTCATGAGGAAAATGTTCGTCAGACATGCGTTATGTCCAGTGAAGAAATGAAACTACTTCGAATTTCCCTTGACTTTAATTGTAAACCAGTCATAAACACGAAAAACTCCTTCCTATTCATCAAAATCAAATATTTATAAATAAGGAAAGAATCTATCGATAATGTGATGAAGCACATGCGCCACTAAAACCTGGTACATTCTTTACAAGGTTAAAAAGAAACTTTACTATCAATATAATTAAGAAGCACCATTTGGGACAGCTATATACATTTCACGGTCCAATACGTCAGCACATCAGGCCCAAGAGATCCTAGGTTGTAAGGGCGTATTTTCTCAACTAAAATTGGTAATTTGGGTGGGTAGCTAGAGGTCAGTATAGCCCAAGTCCACAGTGCGATTCATATACCTTCCCGAGCGTAACGCAGCCGGGCATCTTCACGGCTTTTGACACAAAGCGCCCACCACAACAGAGCCGTTCAGTCACAGGCACTGATTCACAGCGCCGGAGCACAACTGGCCGGAGCGCAGCAGGCCCTACCTACAACGCCTCATCCCGGCCCTACTCCTAACCTAACCTAACCTAACCTAACCTGCGCCTGTTGCGGTAGGACCTGTTGCGCTCCGGCCAGTTGTGCTCCGGCGCTGTGAAGCAGTGGCTGTTTTTTAAAGTTGGTGTGGTGATATGAGTCACTTACACACAGCTCATTGATCTGAGGCTATGTGTAGATATTGCATGCTGATGTTCGGCGTTGAGCCCAGGGCCTGTTTACGAGTCAATCTTGTCACCAAACGGCTGCGCTCCCGGTAATTTTATGTTCCACATCGCAGCAGTGATGTGCCCTAGCATCAACATAGCAAAGCGTAAGGTTTTAGACTATTAAACCTTGAGAAAAATAAACTCCTTGTACGCTTGGCGACCATCGGCCTGCCTTAAACTAAACAATCTCCTGGCACGATTGGAGACCATCGCGCAGCTTTAACCCGATTACTCACTTGATGAAGTTATAGTCCATTGCATCTTCTTTAACTACGCTGGGATCCGTTCCCGCAGCTTCATGTTGAGACAACTAGACTGGTTCAAATCTGGGGACGCAGGGAAGAAAAAACGAAATGAAAAGAAAGATTAGGCCTTCTGAACCATTACATGGTTTGCAACCAATACTCCAGGGGTCTTTCCTCTAGCCGGCTAAAGTTTGTTTAATTGATAGGTTATGTCATATGACAACGATGTCGATACATGATACGTACGCTATATGAACACTGAACATAAATAAATCGTGTAGAATACGACAAATGTAAACATTCATCCTGCGGTTTTGTAGAATTGGGAATCTAGGAATCGCCACTTAGTAAAACATTAGTCAAGTTCGTTGCCTGGTTTGTCTGTTGCTGAGAAATTGTTTCGGAAGCTGGATCATTGCACAGCAATGTTTCCCCTATGCAGCAAGCGCTCTGCTCTCGTCATTCTCTTCTTCTCGAGGACGAACCTTCAACTAAACTGAAGGCCCCGGAGCGATCTTCTTTTATTATATAATATTTTCTTCAATATAAGATTTCACGATACTCAGTTCCACCTCTGGTGGCTCGGATTTTTGTATTTTGGAATCTGTGCATACTTCTACAAGGAAACCTTGCCATCATAACGGAAAACTTGAGTTATCGTCCTATTGAAACTGTTGATCGACTGTTTCTATGTTCCGTTATCGTTTCTCTGATACCTAAATTTTAAACTCTATCGTGTATTTGTTACATATACACTGCTGATTAATTTGTATTAAATTTCTTGAACTGAAGATGGCGCAGGTTGCCGAATAGTTTATAATGAAGATATTTTAAATTTAATTGGCTATTTCCTTGCCTTTAAATACTCATTTCTTTGACGATATTTTCGTCTATGTGTAATAAGTCGAATTTTTTAAGCTATAACAAATCATCGAACCAAAAGTCAAAATCAATTCTCGGATAGCTAGAAAATCATTTCACCGAACAAAACCAAATCCCAGCACGATATGGAGCCGATTTGATACTGACGTCCGGGGCGGAAATTCATGCACCGAACACAGTAGATAGCGAACAGTGCAGGCTGGTGAAGGCTAAGCCTTATAGCTCACTGACTTACAGTCAGGGTTCGTGGGCCGCTAAGGTTCCTGTTTTGTTCAGTTACAAGGGAATCTTATTGTTATGAGTCGGCCGAACTGTGAAGTAATAATGCAATCGATATTTTTACTTTGTTTAATTACAGCATTGTCAACTTTGTGATTTTTTTAATTGATTAATTTATTTGACAACATTTAATAAATTAAGCATCAGATGGTAACAAATAAAAAAGATGAAGTTATGACCACATGTAACGAAGGTAGATTTATGCGGTCGGCGGCCTGCAAAGTGGCGAGATTAACGTGCCTTGAAGTGAAATTATCCTTTGTAATAGTTTGTAAGGCAAAAATTTGAAGTTCGCTCTGTGTTTTTTTGAGTTATCGATTAAATTATTTTCATTTAGTCATCAGAATATGAAAATGCTTTCACGTATTACAAAGAATTGAGGCGTTTCTGGAGGAAGTATAATTTTTTGGCATATTCAGTGTCGTATTTCGACACATAAACCCATATCTCTGATGCTGATCATTTTATTTAATTATCATCGTAGCTTTCATCAGAACCTGATACAATAAATGGTTTGTGCTCCGTCCTTAAAACGTTCAATCATTGCAGGTATGTAGGTAACGTGTTTTTTAAATCCATTCTTATATTGAACTTAGGAACATCTAGTCACGAGATGTGTAACACTCAGCTGCGGCTCCTGCTGCTGCTCTCCGTGGCTATGTTCGCTAGTCACGCCGAGTCAAGTAAGTCTTATGTTCGCACATGTTTGAAGAAGTGAGGTAAATGCTAATAATTATTAATTTCATGATGAATTCTATTCCGTACTTACTTCTTCACGGGCGAGGCTTTCAGGCAATGAGATTTCCACGAGAAAACATTGGATGATTTGTATAACAATGGATGATATGTATACCATAGGATGATATTTATAACATTAGATGATATGTACAACCTTGGATGAAATGTATTACATTGGATGATATGTATAATCTTTGATGATATGTATAACATTGGATGATATGTATAACATTAAATGATATGTATAACCTTGGATGATATGTATAATCTTTGATGATATGTATAACCTTGGATGATATGTATAACATTAAATGATATTTAAAACCTTGGATGATATGTATAACATTGGATGATATGTACAACTTTAGGTGTTCGAACTTCTGATGAATTAGAATAACTTCTAGTTCATCATTTTATGCCAGCCAGTGAAGAAAACAAACTTTGTCGAATCATTTATGACGAAGGTCAAGGTTATGGCGAAGGTCAAGCCTAGACACGAAATATTCATGTGATAGCGTGATTGATATCAAATTAAAAAAAAAGTGGAACAATGTTGTAGTATAATTTGAAAACAATATAGACTATGTAGAAACATAATAAGACAAAATTAAAAGGAATAAAACAAAAATTAGCAAATTTATACTTAGCAAATTAAAACCTTGCAAAATTAAAACTAACAATACTAAAATTAGCCAAATTGAAGTATACACATCTTATTCAATCGATAATACGACAAAGCTCCTGAGTTTAAAGTCCCTTTTATTCTCACTATAAAACTTATGTTTACCGTGACCTCGAAGTTCAGTTGAACCTGACTCCCCGACAGTCGCTTCGTATAATAATTATAAAATTTATGACCGCCCGCATTCTCTTTCAAATAATGAATCTTGATCTTCATCGCCAGCGAGAACAGATCTAGTCGCCATCTAGCAATCCATTCTCAATAATTCACTACATATCAATGATATCAGGTAGAATAGAATAGAGTGTCGGAGCTGAAGAAGTAGGCCCATGGCCTGTTGCCAATTCTTGTACCTTTCGTGACTTGATGATTCACAGTAGATCTAAAAACCGGCCTTTTGACCGGATCTTTTCATAACTGACGTTGGTTTGAGTTACCTCCAAGACTCATTACCAGGTTCGTAAGGTGCTAGGCATTTCGAGACTGAACATATGTTTTCGCGTAGCTTTATCTAGTCAGTTTTTGAACTCGTTCACAATCGAAGCGTCAACGATGTCATCAGGGAGGCTGTTCCACCAGTCGGTGACTCGAAGCGAAAAATGTTGTCGCATGGATATGTTTCAACGCAGTTTTTTTAGTTTATAGCCATAGCCCCTGGTTTTGGTTCTTGTTTCAAATTCTAGGAACCTCTCTGGGACCTTGAATAAATCATGGGTATACTTGTATACTTCGATGAGGTCGCTACGTAGACGTCGATAACATAGACTTGGAAGTTTCGCATCGCAATCTTTCTTCATAAGACTTGCCTATTAATCCTGGAATTATTCTTGTTGCACGTCTTTGTACACTCTCGACTAAATTTTTGTCCCTTTCGAGTTTTGATGATCGCACGGCGTTTCCTAGGTTTGGACGCACGGCAGCGACAAACAACACCTTCATCACTTCTGCAAATAGGTACTCGTAAGAGCGTCTGAACAGTCCAAGCTGTTTATTGGCCCTACTAACTTGAGCTTCAATGTGTTTAGAAAATTTCAGCTCCTTGTCGACATAAACTCCTAACCCTTTTTCCATTACCAATTTTGCAATCATTACTTTGCCGTTGCAACAATGTTTTCTCATACTGTAAGCTTGCTGTTCATTGTTTTTAACAAGGTTAATTACCTTGCACTGCATGATCTGCATCCACTACTTCCCTTTCGCCCATCAGACGAGTCCAATCATCCAAAGTAGACAAGAGATTAGTGGTGCAGGATCTACCGGAAATAAAACCATGTTGATATTCTTATAGGAGATTATTTACAGTCAAATGATCGATCAATCGATCCCTCGCAACAGATTGCATTAACTTACAACCAACACTTGGCAAAACTGACAGGGCGATGGTTGCCCGAGCAACTCTTGTCCGACTTTTTAACGCATTTTCTCATTTATGTAAAAAATGCACTATTGTGCTCGCCATGTCCGTCTGTCTGTCTGTCCGTCCGTCCGTCTGTCCGTCCGTCCGTGATCTCAAGTTCTCGTCGACGAGAAAATGCTCTCTCTGTCACTCACTGCAGTGAGTACTGAGTTATATTTTTTAATAATGGTGTCCCTTAAGCTTCTTCCCACCGGCCGGCAAGATACCTTCGTTGAAGGGTTTTTGAAAAAGCGCCGGATTAGGACGGTTGCAAGCTCTTTGAGTAATCAGGGATGGAAGCCGTCAGGTATGCATGACTTAATTGTGCGGATTCAGAGCGACTACCCGCTTGCATGAGAACCTCTCCTTCCTATATTTTAAAACTTATTAATTTCCAAGCCACTGGACGCTCGTCAATACCTATGTAATGCTGTTCAAGTCCTCATCTGTGAATATATACGCTACTACGGAACTGATTAGGAACTATTTAGCCTTGCCGTCATCAGGGGATATCTTTAGCTAATCTACTTTCAAATCAGAAATACCATCGTTTGCCTTGCACTTCGAACTAGCGTACAAAAAGAAGGCTTTCGGGTTCTATTCTTCATTTCGCAATATCTGTCTCAAAGTATTTCACTGCAGTGTTACAGATTTGTTAGCTTGATTTCGAGCCCTTGTGTATAGGTTATAATCATCATCGCTGCGACTCCGGATATAACGCTAGTAGTCTGCCTTCTTTGTATTTAATTTGGCTGTATTATATGTTACTGTATTGTTTGCCCACTATGTTTTTTGAATCCATCGAGCTAAATCTTTATAGGTACTCAAGCATCAACTGGGGACATAACTTTGTTAATGGAAATGCCCATGACTCGGCCACATTCATGTCTTTAACACCGTCCGAAATATTCGCAGCATTCACTGCTTCGCGGAGTTTAACATAGTCGCCTTTCGTAAACTTCAAACGCTCACGCTTCCGATGTGTCTTTTCTGCACAGCATTTATTTGTGAAAAAAAGCTCATCTAACATTGATTCATCACTAGTAAACACAAAGTCTAAAATATTAGGAGTCTGTCCGCCTTGGCTTTGTAACGTGCTGGAGTAAAATGGAGTCTCTCACAGACTCCATGAACAAGGATGCTTGGTGGTTCCCATCCTTTGTAGAGGATCGATTTGTCCAGTCTAGTTCTGGATTGCTTAGGTCATCAACGATCAACGTGTATGACCCACGGAAAGTCATGCTCGGTAAAAGACTGTTAGTACTTTATCGTCATCATAAGTCTAAAAACAACCATTAGGAGGCGGCTATCCTTGCCTTGTAGGGAAATTTCGCACCACACTGATGCTCTAACTGATTGGGTCTCTTTAGGCATCTTTACTTACTAGGCCCTATTAAGGGTTTTGATCCACAAAGCTACACCTCTGTTGCATTGTTCTTCGTTTAAGTTGTGAAAACAATCATAACCTGTAAACTGAAATCAGCTCAACTGGTACAATATTCTTAGATCTTTCGGCAGTGCTTCTGTAATACAAATACGTACTCTCGCTCTCCTTCACCGATAGGAGTTCCCTTCTTTCGTTCAACACAGAGTCAGAATTCGTGTAAAAACATTTTAAAATGTGTTGTCGTGAGCTGGCGTTTTTAAAAATACCTCTATATCTACGTACACTATTATTGCGTGCACGTAATTTATCTCATTCACATACCTTTTTACTCCTGTAGCTGAGCACCTGCGGTGTTACGCCATGACTTCTTGAGACTGGATGACTCCTTGATTTTTTCCTTTCTTCGCCTGTTTCTTTCCTGCCATTTCTGGTAGAGATCCGCTTTCTAAGTGTTCGCTATCATAACAAATCGAAGTTAAATAAGTAATTCATGCCCCACATCGCAGCCGAGCTGTGTCCCCGCATCACCATCGAGAACGGCCGCGTCAAGATGCGGTCGCGTAACCGCGTCGCCAAGTTCCGCTGTCGCCGCAACTTCCTGATGATCGAAGGCGACCGCTTCGTGACGTGCAGCCTCGGCACATGGCGGGGCACTGTTCCTAAATGCGTCGGTGAGACGAACGAATATTGATGAGGATTTTCATTTGTCTTTTCGGCTCAAACTTAACAAGGAGATCAACTTTCTCAATTAATCCTGACTTCGTTTCTCACTCTCATACTCCATGCCGACCGTCAAGGATATTCGAATTCAGACTGCAGGAGCAATATTAAGCTTGGTAGATAAAAATAAATCGGAGTAAAAGGGCTGACACCAACATGTCATATTTGCATAACTTATCATGGTCTCTTTATAACATTAATGTAATCGAGTACATTCGCTGGTTCCTGAATAGTTTTCACTTAAATCCCTTTATGAGACGATTATTTTTAACAAATATCTGCGCGCACTCAGACTGCATGACTCCCCAGGTTCGGGCTGCAACGGCGAGTTTTCGATCACAAATGGGCGCTTCCTGCTGCTGTTCGGGGAGGCACTGGCGCAGTTCGAGTGCGACCACGGCTACCAGCTCGTGGGCTCCTCCGCGCTGTCCTGCAACGGCCGGCGCTGGAACGCGTCTGAGCCAACGTGTGAAGGTCAGGCTCGAAACAAAGCTTGGTAGCTTGCACTTGAGATGAATGTGACACAAAATTATTGAAGCGTTTTGTAGATATAGCGTAATTTAAAATATTTCAGAAGTATTATCTTAATTTTGTTTATAATTTTCGAAGTCACGAATGAGTTCTAATTGCAACTTCACACTTTCACATTGATATTTGTTATTTTTATCTCTGACTTATTGATGCGCAGAACGGCTTACATTTTTTATCTCTGACTTATTGATGCGCAGAACGTACTACTATAAACTTATGAATTCTTTCAAACATTGTACACCAATTACCGTTTGTTTCTGTAGCCCCTCAGCACACGCTGTACGACTGCAACTTCGAGGAGTCGAACTGCGGTTGGACGAGCGAGGCCACCCGCGACATGCGCTGGACCCGCACGCAGGGGCGGCCATACGCCCAGTGGGTGGGCAAGCGGCCTTCCATTGACCACACTTATAATAACATCAGTGGTAAGTGCAATTACCTTCCTATGAACCAACTGAAGAAATTTAACTTCTGATAATAATTACTATCGTGCTTTTCTTCTCAAGTTTAATTTTACTGCCGACTCTCGGTCTTTTCGACCTGCCATAGAAGCGGTCTCATAATTTTCACCACCTGCTGATACAAGGAGGAAAAGCCTTGAATGTTGTTTGATAATGCAATGGTAATCTTGATTATTAAATTACCAAATGAAATGGTAATCTTGAACATCAATTGTTCAAGGAAATCTCTAATGGGTTGAAGTAATTTTAAAAAGTTGATTTGAATCGAGCTTTATTACTCTGACATCAGTCGGACATAAGAAATTAATCGCATCCAATTCAGATCATAGAAATTATATCAAAAACATTTTTCATATCATTAATTTAATAGACAAGATGTATTGTTATACTGTAGTCACCGAAAAAAAACGTTATTAGCCATAAGACATTAATTAGCCAACGTAGAAAAGCGAAATTAGCTTTAGAAGCCGAAGGAAGTTACCGCAGTGGAAACATGAAGAATCAGAGGTAGTAAGTCAACGTATAGCAGCAGTAGACAAACGAAATAGCAGAAGAAACAGTATAGGGAACTTATCCTTAGAAACACGGATAAGCAACGGCAAAAGAAACATGAAGTGGTTATTGTAGAGACATGAAAAATCAGAAGTAGAAAGTAGAAGTAGCAGCAGAAGTGGTTATTGAAGAGACATGATGAAGATGTAAGCCGTGGCAAGTCTCAGCAAAGCTCACTGGTGCTCAGAATGTTTGCGTGTGACGGTTGGTCAAACATTGGCTTGCTTACGACGGTCAACAAGCGTGTAATGAGAGGTCCTGGTCGCCACTACCCTCGGCCGTGAAGTCATACTTGCATAACGGACACCTCATCACGTTGACCAGATGACAGTGCGACTCCATTTACCGCGATTGATGATGCAACACTTCATTTTCAATTTACTGATCACTTTGGTCTGAAACCCGTTGCTTCTTCGGATGATTTACATGGAGGGACGGGGGGCTTTGAGTGTTAGGATTGTGTTTTTTCATTATTTACATAATTGAATACTACTATTAAAATCAAAATTTACAGAAATTGACATTAAAATTTCAAAAGGATTATATGATGGAAGGATGATGGTTGTGACGATGATGACGGTGTAGGTGTTTGTGAGTCTCGTCTCTAACGCGCCGTCAGTCTCGTCTCTAGCGTGTCGTCAGTCTCGTCTTTAACGTGTCGTCAGTCTCGTCTTCAACGCGCCGTCAGTCTCGTCTCTAATGTGTCGTCAGTCTCGTCTCTAACGCGCCGTCAGTCTCGTCTCTAAAGCAAGGTGGGTCTAGCAGACGACCCAGCAAGGTGGGTCTAGCAGACGACCCAGCAAGGTGGGTCTAGCAGACGACTCAGCAAGGTGGGTCTAGCAGACCTGCAGCCTCGAAGCGCCGGCGAAGGTTGGTTGGCTAGGCTGGCCTGACTCCAATTTGGCCTGACATTAAAGATGTCGTGACGCGCCGCACTCACGCTGCTCGCGCTTCTACTTCAGACGTGCGCAGCGTAGTTAGCGTCGCGCTGGATACAGAGTATAAAAGTATTCATTTAAAATTAAGTCTTCTAGGGAGGACACAAAAAATCTAGAACGTTTTTTTCTTAATATATTCATTATCCAAAATCTTCTTTTGAAATTTGCTGGAGTGAACTCCAAGTCCTTTGGGACATTTCGCAAGTTCGTCATTACTTCTACGTTGATCTACAGGAATTTGGTACCTAATTCCATAACATTTTTTTCAGCGCGGTAAGAGAAGGAACGATTTGAGCGAGTTTGGTCACCAACTGACATTTCCTCTTTTTTGAAGCAAGAATACTTTTAGAAAACTTGCGTTCTCCCTATAGCATAATCCTTGCAGGCTGCCTGTAACATTTCCTTACCAATTTTTCACAGGAGAAAGCATAATTTGATGGCAGCACGCCGCTGCTCACGAAAATCAGACATCATCAAAGCATGACGAGTGCGCAAAAGCAGTGTCACAAAAAATTTGTGCTAATGGTACAACGTTCTTCTAGGGCAGCAATGCGTGGCACACTAACTGATGTCACTAACATATGCATGCACATATTGAGAGAATGTGGTATACTACCAAAACTTCGCCCAACACACAGGCAATTCTTTTTTTGGGTCGCCCCTCGTATATATGTGATTTATTTACCCTTTGTGGCCTTTTAATGCATTATATATAAACTATCAACATAATTATCGAAAAAATTAACATCATAAAATGTATACAGTGAATTCTATTTCAGTGCATTGCCTTATATTCTAAATTAATTACAGATAATTTTACTATAGGCATTAAATTGTTCAACCTTTTTCATATTAAATGCTTTTCACTTGTGCGAGCTTACACGGGCTTCAAATTGTCTGTTTGATTCGCACAAAATAAGCAAAAATAATTTATTTCTTATATAACACCATGAGTAAAAATACGTAGAGGCTCGCGGTGTAGTGCAGATCGGTTTAGATCGTCTGATTACTGAAAAAGTTCAAAATTGTGTCGTTCTGAACATATGGGCGCATCTGCACAATATCTGAAGCTACCAAACTTCAGCTTCCTTCTTGAAGTTATATAAGTGTTCCTAAACGGTGCCAAATAAGAATATCTTTTTTTTTACCTTTTTATTTGCCTTCTTATTTGCCTTCTTTCTTTATTCTCTCTTGATATTTTTGTTATAACTTTATTTTTGTTAAAACTTTCTTATTTCTAAGTTCTTTGGTTGCGGATCGAGTCAGAACTACTCAGCTGGAGAACGTGCGATGGGCCGTTGAGCCCGACAGTATTTGTTCACTTTATCGAATTAACGTCTGATTCTGAGGACAAGATTGAAAGCTACTGACTATAGCGCATCGACGGTCTTTTAAAGGTTTATCGATTAGATGAGCGCCTTTCCCTGTGATTGGCGGTGCATTGATTTCAGCTCCGCCACCGAGAAGCTCAGCGAGTTGCCTTCGAATCATTTTTCTATAGTAGCATTCGGAATTTGTCAATTGCATGATACTGATAAGTTGAAAATTTACGGTTCTATTTTTAGCGCATTTTCTCATTTATGGAAAAAATGCACTATTGTGATCGCCATGTCCGTCCGTCTGTCTGTCCGTCCGTGACTTCACGTTTCCGTCGACGAGAAATGCGCTCTCTGTCACTCACTGCAATGAGTACTGAGTTATTTTTTTATATATTTCGTTGACTAACGAACAAGACATAGTCTTTTTGCAATTGCGGATTGCCATACTACGTTGTATTAAAACAGCGATTGTTTTTAACTCTGTAAATAAACTGGCTCTCAATTGTCCAACCCCAATCAATTTATCGAAATGGAATACATTATTACAATATTATTTATTAATGAGTCCTACACCTCAGAGCATGAAGATTCACCCTTAAAAGTGCTGAGCGATTTTGTGAATTTGATCTAACAACAGTTTCTTTCGTTCTCAGGCAGACTCAATTACTATACTCTTCTCAATTTTTGATATGGTTATTTCAAGTTGCCGTACTTGCGCCTCGCTTGCCGGGAGCTCACGTATAAGGCAGTAATTTCTGAACCTCCCACGGCAGTAATTCGTGTCCGCGATCTCATCTGAAATGCACGGTTGAGATATGGTAAGCACGCCTCCGAAGTCCCGTTAATCTCGCGTTGTATGCCCAAAAATTACGACAGTGCCTGCCCGCTACTGTACCACTGCCCTCTACCACTGCTTTAATATAATACAGTTTAAGTTGTTAATAAATCCAGTTGTTAAAATCCAGTTGTTTATTATCAATATATAATTGTCACGACGCTGTATCGCCATCCTTACATTGTCAACGCTGCCTGCACTGCTAAATAAGTTATTTTCTTGAGGTTTATACCAGATTGTAACGACGAAGAGATAATGATAATTAAGGCTGATGAAATGTAATCAACAGCTTATTTTAAGCCAGTATATTTTTGGCGATGACGACTATGACGGAGTATAATCATTTAAAAATCATGGCTTAATTTCTCATGAAATGTTACCCCTATATTGCCTTGTTCCGCTAATTACAACTTAAATATAATTTCCACAGGGAAAAGTTTCTTTTTCGATTATTTTTAATTTGTTCTAATCTCACGGCAAGTTCTAGTGTAGCACACTACGGCTTGCGAGAAACTACCATCATCACGCTGCCAGCAGAGCTTCAATTGGGCTTAATTTCCATGGCACTGAAATGGCCGGCGCGCCAAGGGAGCATAATTCTGGAAAATAATGCGCTGTGCGTCTTTAGAGCTCAGGCGTAAAGCACCATGGAGCTAGCAGCTCGCTTTATCCTCTGGGATAGCCTGGCTTATGGCTGCCTCGGCTCAGCTCGAGCTGAGACTCGGCATGCTAAATCTAACTCTTCTACTCTTGTTATGACTACTCTTCTGCAGCTAAGATGAGGCTGAACATGGAGTTTCATCAGGGAACGCGTTAAAGAATTAAAGAAACAAGTTTAAACTTAGTAGCGCATCGAGATTCCTAATGTTTTCAACTTTGTTCGTAGTTTAATAACTTTAAATGCCCTCGACACAATGTCATTTTTAACACTTGCCCTCGTTTTGTGATATCATTTATCTTGATCCAATTTTAACACATAATAATTGTATTGTAATTTGCAATGTGGTTTAATTGTAACACATTACAATTGTTCTTTATTTTACAATGGGGATTTATTATAACACATCATATATTATGTTGTTGCTCGCAGCTTTTTCTCACGAGAAAATGTGCATGAGCGCTGAGTAAACTTCAGGCGCGCTTCGCCTGCATGACGTCAAACTTTTGAGCGCTTCCCTAACAATGCTTCCAAAATATTTTTTTAGCTTCAGTTTTGGACAAAAACTGTAAAAAATTGCGGAAAAGAACAGTTATTAAACTATTGCTGAATAACTTTGTCATTGATAACACCAGTTTGTTTTTTGAAGCTATTCGTTTCAAGTGAAACAATTCGAGGTTTTTTGCATGATATTTTCGGTGTGTATCACACTCAAATCTGCGATATTTTTTCTCCCATTGTATATACTTGACCGTGAATTTCAAAACTGCGAAGCTTCTACCACGGATTCCATTGTATTGCACATCATCCCCGCGGGACACACATCTCTCAAAATTCCCCATAATTATGGCCAAAATGTCGCTTCAAAATAAAATGAACGAGGTTTTAGGTTCGTGTAGTGATGAGCGGAACAGCCCTCGTGACGTGGCCTTTGATAGCGCGAAATGAAATGCAAATGACTTATCTTTGCCGTGCCAGCTCTGCTGGATAGCGGGAACTAATTTGTGGGTCAGCCGTGACGAGGAACTTTTTATGATTCTCATTACAGTGGAGCGAGTTGATATATGAGTTTTATATAAGGCTCAATTGAAACCGGAGTCTCATACGAGGTTATTTGAACCTGAGTCTATTATATGGCTCAATTTAGACCTGAGTGTTAATGATGTTATTTAACCCTGAGTCTAATATATGGCTCAAGTTAGACCTGAGTCTAATACGGTGTTATTTAACCCTGAGTCTAATATATGGCTCAATTTAGACCTGAGTCTAATACGGTGTTATTTAACCCTGAGTCTATTATATGGCTCAATTTAGACCTGAGTCTAATACGGTGTTATTTAACCCTGAGCCTAATATATGGCTCAATTTGACACGAGTCTAATGTGGTATTATTTAAACCTGAGTCTAATATATGGCTAAATTTAGAACGAAGTCTAAATGGCGTTATTTAACCATGAGTCTAATATATGGCTCAATTTATACCAGAGTCTGATATGGCTCAATTTAGACCTGAACATAAATGGTGTTATTTAAACATGAGTCTAATATATGGCTCAATTTAGATTTGAGTCTAAAATGGCTCAATTTAAACCTGAGTCTAATATGGTTCGCCCTTTATCAGTCTAAATTAAAGCTTCGATTTTGAAATTCGATTTTGAAGTTTACGAGGTATGATTATAAGTATGCTTTAAAAAATGTCCAACGCTCAAGCTGACGACGAAAATCAATCGTTCATCAAAAAAGGCTGATAAATAGAATAATCAATTTCGTGATGTTCTTCCCTCACCGCCTATACTTTCTGCCATTTTGTTCATTTTATCCAATTAAAGAAATATTATTTCCATAACTTATCTCTTGAATTTAATGGAATAATTCAACAGCCTAAAATATTACTTGTGCATAAGGAAAAAATTAAAATTAAATTTTTTGAAACCAATTATTCATCAGCCCGTTATTCGGCAAGTAAATTTGAAGAAAAACTTAACTCGGTTTATTCCGTGCATAAATTAAGAAGAAACGCCACGTCAAAGCGGTCGGAATTTTCAAAGGTTCGTACCAAGTTCGTACGCAGCGAGTAACAAAAGTAATTTGCCCGCTGACCTCATTTGACTTCATCAAAGACTGAATGTTCTCTCTTTCCTTGCCGAATTTAGCCGACACTCGCTGGTCCAACAAGAAGGGGTATATTTCTGGTGCAGAAGCGTCTTCTTTAATGTAATTTTCAAGCGACTTGAGGCAAATTTGTTAATAAATGAAGGAACTTCAGTATGACTATTTTATTAGAAAACATTTGAGAGCAGCAACTTCTACGATAGATCTCGGTACAGTCGATGAATAAAAAAACGACATACATAAGAAAAATAACAAAAGAAAATAGGCCTATATGATAGCCGCGGGTTGAGAAAGTTTTTTCTTATAAAACATATCAATTCTCATAGGTCTGAATACTGATGTATATTTTTCAACATTTTGTAACATGGGAGTAAGTCGGCATTATATGATAACGTAATTTTAGAAGCATAGCTTTAAGCTATTTTGAACGCCCTTTAAAAAAATGAGTGCCCCGAGAAATAATTATCCGACCTCCGGCCTCGGACAAAACTATTCAGAAGCTATGTTAAATAACTGCCTATGTCTCTCGCCTCGCGAGCATCGGCATTCGATGGCGAGAAAATCTCTTATCGCCCGGGCGCCGGAATCTCTTGGACGCTCAATTTTTAGTGGCCAGGATAAATTTTGGCTTTAATGGCTGAGCATTTGCGTCTCCAGACGGCAGCCGTACGTTAGGAACATTAATGAAATTAGAGGCGCAATGGCATTTGTTCCGAGTAATATGACATGAAATATTCTGCAAGTTCAAGCAATTGTCGAGCTTTAGCAGCCGTGGGAGACTCGCCAGTATAACCTCAGCCTTGATTATTTCCTGGCAATAACTGAATGGCTTCGTGACCAGGGCCTATACTTTCAAAAAAAGTTAAGAGATCGTAAGTTCATCAGCCAATCATTGATGTCCTTTTAAGCAAAATCCACCAATCATAGACAAGAAAATAGAGCGTAAGTACTTACGTTCACTTAGCGAGTTTTGAAAGTATGGCCCCTGAGGACAGCCCAGATGATGCAATGCCTTCAGTTGTGTCTGAGATTATCCCGGTAATAATACGCCAAGCTACTGAAAATTATTCAGTGTAAACAAATCTTCGACGATTGCTGTCACGCGTGGTTTACGATTCTTTACCTTCGGTAATCTCCAATTTGCAGCGGATCTATGGAAATTTTAAATCCACTCAAAAAATAGCACTGTTCGTTTTTATTGACTGTTTGCCACAGGTCGACAAGGATTATACTTTGGTCTGGGAAATTTGTGATGAAAAATTCCTTTTGCCTGGTAATTATAAATTTGTTAAAATAGGGACCTTTTATATCGCTCAGTGCAGTTGAATAGGTTCAAATTCTTTCGGCTTCGATTACTTCCTGTAGCCGTTATCCTCTATAACATTGCTCTCTTATCCTCCAGGTCTTTGTATCAAGGAGCTCGTGACAGTCAAATTGCCAATTAAATTATTATCAATTCATGATATCGACCAGTCAAGTCATTAATCAATATAAATGTTCAAATATTGGGCAGGTCACTACATGTATGTTGACACGTCAGTCAACGGTGACTGGAAGGACGTGGCTCGGCTCTATTCTCCAGTCCTACAGCCGTTCGTGATCAGTCCCACGTGCGCGACGCTGTGGGTGTATAAGCCCATGAACGACACAGGTAATGCGAACTCACATCAATTGTTAATGTACCACGAATGAAATATAAAGTTTTTATCTCTCTATCTCTTTGCACTGTTATTAAATCATCTGATAAAATATCCATCAGTTGTTCCATTCCATTTTTTTTTTGTATATGTACAGACGGGTGATGGGAGTACAGACCATTTGATGTATATTTCTCTGTAACTAAAGAGGAGCTTGAGAATTTTTTTTCGTTTTTTTGGCACATTTTCTCATAAAAAGTGTTATTGAATTACTCTGGCTTTGAAAAATTGAGTTAAATATAAATTAGTGCTTACTATTTAAAATTAACTGCCAATAATGCTTTCCTCCTGCATAAATTCGAAGGAGAACTGAACATCTACGCTAAACCCGAGAGCGAAGATCTTGATATCCTAGCACCGGAGGTTTCCATCACGGACGAGGCTTGGGCTGACTGGCATCTTGTGTACATATCCCTGCAAGACATCGACGAGCCATTTCAGGTAGACATCTTTTAGCTCGGAAATTTATTATTGCAGATACCAATCCCCTGAACAGAAAGCCGCCATCTTCCTTACACCTGTAGGCAAGATGGCTTTAATTCCAGAGATTATTTGGCTCTGGGTTGTGTTGGCTGTTGTTGGATTCGATACGCAGTGTCGTCCTACCAAACGCTTCCCTAATTTCAGTGCTGATGTGCAAGTATTAGTAAATATGCCAGGTGTTCGGCACGTACAAAACAATATAAGTTTAAAAATAACTTTTTAAAGACCCTTTTTAAGAGGCCAGTGTTTTCGATGTTAAACATGTACTATGAATTTTTCACTTTATTTTTAAATAATAGAAAAAATATTTTGAATTTTTTAAAACGTTTTTCTTAGTTTAGCTTCGCGTTTGTTTGTTTGTTTGTTTGTTTGTTTGTTGTTAACATTGACAACGAAAATTAACCCACTTCTGATTGCTCTAGAGCTCTGAAATTCGGCATGCAGGCTATTTTCGCCTAACAATTTTAGATACATTCATAAAAACTAGCAATTAGAGACCTAAATTAGCTTAATTGAGTAAAGTATATATATATAGTATATATATATAGTATGACGGGCAGGTAAGGCTATCCTGCATCAATAAAAAAATCAAAAAATAAAAAAAAAATAAAAAAAAATAAAAAAAAATACCTAATGTTACCACAGATGAACAACGCTAGGGACCGATTCATGACAAATTAGAATAAATTCAGCGCGTTTGAGCGTTAGGTTATTAACTCACAGGTTAATGTTTTTCTTACAAACTTTGAGATATAGCCTGCCAATCTGTTTATAATCGCTCATTTTTTATCGTTATCACAGGTTAATGTTTTTTCTTACAAACTTTGGGGTATAGCCTGCCAATCTGTTTATAATCGCTCATTTTTAATCGTTATAGTATTTAGGGTGTATTGTTAAAAGTCAAAAGGGTTTGAATCATAATTTTTTGATAATTCAGAAATAGATGATGTAGTTGCTCTATTGCCTCGACAAAGTAGTTCAGGAAAAAGCTTCTTGCTTAGCTTGATATTTTTGAAGCATGATATGAACTTCAAATGAACACAACCATAAATTTTTTTAACATGAATATCACGTGCCGTGCAGCACAAAGTTAGACATATTCTTAATTGACTGGACTTTGATGAAGCGTCTTTCTCGCATTCAACTAGAGTTCAAGCATTTTTTGAGCATTTGATGATGATTTTTTTCAAGTATTTGATGGTTTACATTTTTAGTTCAATATCTAATTTCATCGCAGCAAAATTGCAAGAAATATATAACTGCATAGAAATATGATCACAGGAGCGCAAAGGCATTATAACCGACAGAGAAAGTAATGAGTCTCGTTAAATTGAAATATGAATTGCGCTTCGCAAAATTCCATCTCTTTGCACTGTTAGTAAATTAACTGATACAAAATCCATTAGTTGTTCCATTATTTTTTTTTTACAGACGGGTGACGGGAGTATTATAAGTGGGGTTAATAATTATTTAATAATTTATTCTACACATGTGAGTAGGATAAATTATTTCCATAATTTATTCTACTCATGTGAGTAGGATAAATTATTTCCAGTTACAATGTACGGCTCGTGCAGATCGTGGTGGAGGCTGTGTGGGGGGACGGCTACATGAGTGACGTCGCAATTGATGATTTCTTAGCCACGTACGGAATGAACTGCATTGACCTCGAGGTCGAGTTCAAAAGGCAGAGCAAGACGGAGGCCCATAACGTCTCAAGTAAGTACTAGAAACACCTTATGTTGCCGCAATAATAATAGTTTTACTTTACCGATGACTGTGAATCATTGGAACTTCGTTTGGGGCTACAATATTATTTATTTAGAAAGTTTGTTTCCTAAAAAACAGCAAGGAATAATTAAGTCTGCGATCCTTCAAAAAGTTTAATATCATCTACAGTTCTAAAAAATAGAATATTATGTCTTCCAGCTTTGCAGATGCAACTCATATATGAATTCACATGGAATGACCGCGCGTTTTTTATTCGAATTCTCAATTTCGTACAGTAATGCACTGCTTTCAGATCCAGACTCCTCGTGGCTACCAATTCCCACGCAGACGTCTCAAAACGTCATCACCTCAGGACCGGCCCCAACCTCCACCACCCTGGAGCAGCGCACCTTGTCTTCGACCACGACGACACAAAAACCTACCACGTCTTCGCTAAGTACTCCCGTCAACGCCGTCACACCACCCAACCCCACTACCACTACAACTACCACTACAACTACAACCAGCAGTGTTAAGCCCACTACTCCCTCAACTACCGTTAAGGCCTCGACGTCAACCACTACCAGATCCTCTACAATCATAACTACTACTTCGAAGAAGCCATTCACGGCTATCACTATAAAGCCCACTGATAAATCTACTACCAAACAATCCATAACAAAATCCACCACCTCAAAGCCAACAACAAAATCAACCACCTCAAAGCCAACAACAAAATCTACCACCCAAAAACCAACAACAAAATCCACCAGTCAACGGCTGACGACAACAAAAGTAGCGGTAACCAAAACTTCGACGCAGGCCCCACCAGCAGACTTGCCTGTGTCTGATGAAGTAAAATCACCCGAACAGGAGAAACAATTTTCTGTATTCTTATCAATTCTACTTATCAGTTTAGGAATCGTCTTTATCGTTGCATTATTAATTTTCATGTACAAGAAGTGTGATACTCTAAGGCAGCTTAAGTTTTCGGAAGATTCTGACGTAAAATACTTGCAACAAGGTGACGATGAGTCAAATGGTTTTGGGGATTCCGATTCTCTGGTGTACCATCCAAGAAGTCGATCGGTGCCATCAGGTAGCAATTATTCTTCGCCATCTACATCCTCCGCATCCTCCATGCATTCTGACATTGGAGACTGCGCTAATTTGGTCCGGAAGCCAATTAGACCTCCTCCTCCCGTTCCGTTAGCTGCAGCTGCAGCGTCTAGGAGACCTGCCATTGAAGACATTTCCAGTGAAGCAGACATTTGCGATCCACGCTCTTCGCCCTTGTCGTCCTCACTGATATCGTGGGCCGAATCTTCTCAGATGACGGAAGTGCCACTCATGCAGGCAACGGACACTCCAACCTCGTCCACAAACTCGCCTTCTCTTGGTGGTGCGGGCAACGTCGGTGTCACTGAAGGTGCGTACAATATTGGTTCCACTCAGCGTGGTGCGCACAATTTGCTGGGTTCCCAGAGCGATACGCACAATAATGGATCTTCTTCAGTAAACTACTCGCCGTACAGCTCTCCAACGCTACCTCCTCCTGTACCTCCACGGTCTCACGGAGGTGGAACGGCAATTTAGAGGGAATCGGAATTCGTCCACAATTTCCGGAATTGTGGACAACACCACAATTTGTCCTAATTTCAGCCTCAATATTAATTAAATATCGATAGAGGTGCAGAAATGTTTTTCTGAAAACTCATTTATTTATGTGAATTATTCGAAACCTCCAGCTAGTCGTCGAAAGAGCGTGAAATTATTTTGCCCCCCCCCCCGGTTAATTTTAGAGAGTCGGAACATAATATTTAATACTGATAGAGCATTAGAGAAAGAGATACAAACATCCCTTAAATTTAAATTATGATAGATCTATGTTGAACCAAGATTTCATCATGATGATTAATGCCATTGTGTAGTCACGATCATTTATAAAATATAAAAATTCTAATGCGTAGCCAGAAAATTAGGAACTGAATAAATTTTTGTAGGATATCTCAGAGTGATTCTCCGTGTAGATAGAAAAACCACAACCCCAAAGCAATTTGTCTACTGCGCTTCCAGAAATTAAGTAATTCCTGATTAAAATTTTATTAGTTTTATTAGATATTAGGTCAGTCGCGAATTGAATCAATTGGGGTCAAATTGTGCTGAGTTTCACACAGTTGTATAAAATATGTCCGGAACTGGAGTTGAATTAAAATGGTTAACATTAACCATTTCTACGAACAAATCAAATTTAATGGAATTATTTTTCGCTTGGCATGCAATATATCAAGCTATGTGAATTAGCCATCTAATAATCTTATAAACCTCACGTTCATAAAGGACAGAATTCTCTCCATCTCTGTTCCACATGGCATGCAGAAAGGTCAGCCTCGTAATGCCATCGTTCTCATTTGACGGACTACGTCATTAAAGCTAAATTAGTGACTTGACAAACATAATGTAGGTCTCGTGCTGCACTTCCCGGGGACCATTACGAGTGACACTTGCTCGCGTGGGCGACTGTCAAATTCACAGATGCTTTCCGAATGTCTATGTTACAAGTCGTAAAATGTTTAATTTTCGAAAATTTTGATGCGGTAGACTGCTGAGATTATATTATTGTTAAATCTAAGTTGCGTGATGCGGTTCTGACAGAGAGGAGTACAGGACTTATGTACGTTGGACGCTTTAAAGTTATTACCAAAGTTTGACTACCATAAAATGAATATATATTATCATAAAGAGTTATCCAATAATCATGATATCGTATAAATTTATGTTCCTACAAACGTAGCTATAAATTTGTGTTTGCCTTCTGACTGATATCAAACTCATTATCAACTGGGAAATGTCAATTAAATGTACCAAATTTTATTTAAATGAAAGGATAAAACTTTTTTCAGGTTGGTGAATACCATAGATTCGTCTATTAGAAAGAAAATGACATATCAAACATTAAAAAGTCTGTAATATTTAAGGTTAAAAGAAAAATTTATTATTCATCAATAAACTCTAAATTAATAAATCTATGTAAAATTTAAAATAAATAAATCTCAACTTAAATAAAATGCTTTATATTTCTTAGATATAAATATCTCTTGCATTTAGATCAATTTTTACCCATGAAAATTTTTTCAAAAGACTATTTTAAATCTACAATAACAGTAGATGACTAAATAATTTTCAGAAAGCGGTCAATATTTTTCTTAATAAATCAGCTCAATTTTTTTTGGCGAAATCTAACTTTGAGGAACACTGGTAAAGTATATTTGCAAATTAATAGAGTGTAATTACCAATAACATTTATTCAATATATCTGTATTTAGATCAATGGTAAATGTGAACTCTTCGAAACGCATCTGTCACTTGCTAGTTTCTGCACTAGATTACCGTGAATTAAATGCCTCAATAATTACTATTCAATAGTTTATAATGTCAGCTATTGTTAAATTCACATTATGAAGGTGCCAAAATTCAGTGCAAAGGCCTAAAAGATATTTGCATCAAAAATTTCAACAAAACGACTTGGAATGAAATTGTATACGTAGATACATTTACGTTAACTTGAAACCGTCTTCAGATAAATTTTGTCGCGAGAGTTCAAATTCTTGTCTCATGCAACAAAAAATAGTTTAACAGAGCATGCAGCAAAAAATACATTTATGAAAATATTGTTTTGGTCGGAATTAAGCAACGCGTTTTTTCAGTGCCTCAATGACCTCGTTGCACTTCACCGTGCTACGCATTAATGCTGCGGCTTTTGATTTATTATTTCAGTAATACTTAATCATCAATAGAAGAAAAAAAGTTCTCATTCCGGGAGAGATTGGCTTCTCTCTAAACAAAAACCCCGTTGCCAAATTTCAAGAAGCATTTGTAACATCATAAAACTTCAGGTCAGCAAATCACAATATATTTTCCAGCTAAATCCGCTCGTACCACGAGTGAAGCCTGCATCAAGGATAAAACAAGAACTTACTATCACCGTCGGAGTTTTTGTATCACCTGTCCAAGAGACGGCGTCTCAAAGCCGTTCTTACGGCAAGTGGTGGTATTTTTCACGCTTATTTAAATCCGCTCGTGCAACGAGTGAAGCCTGCATCGAGGATAAAACAAGAACTTACTATCACCGTCGGAGTTTTTGTATCACCTGTCCAAGAGCCGGCGTCTCAAAGCCGTTCTTATACGGCAAGTGGTGGCATTTTTCACGCGCCAGAAGAAGGCCTCTGAACCATCAGCCTGATGGGGCCATTATTCTCACTCATGAGAAGCTTCTCTTTGCCTTGCTTGCAATGGCTGGTATCAAGTGGCATCAAGTGTGAATTTCCACAGACATAAACTTCTATTGTCCTTTCATCGTTGCTTTGACAGCACAACGTTTTTTTCCAAACTATTTCATCCCTTTCTTTTGATTCTAAATAGTAATTTGATCATCCAAAGCAATGATTGAGCCTTTCACTGACAGTTAAAAATTTAATGAAAAGTGATTATAATGATGGAGCAAGTTTTCGATGAGGGAAAGCGCAAGAAATTTCCCACCGTTCGTTGATTTTTTAATTTCTAAACGGAATTTAGTTATTAGTAATGTTGGAGTAATATTAAGATCAGTTCAGGGTAAGTTCACATGTATTAGACTTAGAGGCATGGAACTGGCAACCAGATTCTCCTTTTGAATGCTACAGTTATAAATTAATTCGAACCATTAAGCTTAATAAATTAAATTTCAACTTGCTTAAACCAAGAGCTGACGATGTAGATAAAAGCTGTATTATTATTACTAGCTTTTGACGTCATTTAATTACTTTCCCTTCTTTTAAACAAATTCCTCAACTTTACTATTCCATTCAGAAGCATTCATCTCAATCTGATTTCACCTCATTTCAATATTACATCTTCTAAAAGTGCACTGAGTGCCAACAATAAACTCAGCTGTGTAGTGGTTCAAATTGAAAACGATTTGTTATGCTCACAATTGTCATTTTGCAGTTTAGAACTGTGCAGTTAGTTGCTATATCGCCATTTATTTATCCCATCATCACTATGTTGCAGTATCACCCATACTTTCAATTTCAGGTTCATCGACTATTATTCTTTGGCGCTGGTGATGGTTTTGGTTGACGCCTGCACTGTAATTCTCGATCACCTAATTCAACCCATTACGGACTCCTTCATTTACGTAGACAACACGATGGCACCAATATAATCTTTATTAAGCGACAATTTTAACTTTCAAATTTTTGCTAATATGAAGACTTGCGCAAAACTCGCCGAAATCTAATGAAATCTTTAATGTCTGATTTGTAATCTTAAACCTTTGAGCTACGATTGTATAAAATCATCCATGAAAGAGCCTCGCTGTTCCATTTGAGTAGGTCTTGAGCTCCTGTACTCATTAGCCAATCTTTTGAAAGATGACTGCTACTCCGCCGAGCTCATCGTCTGGGTGAACAGTCGTGAGCCGTCATTGAACTGCCGGCATCGTTATTAAATAGCTAACGAGAGGCTCTTGAGGCGCTTATGTTTCAGTCACAAAAATTGGCTGCATCTGAAGAAAAGTGCGTCATCAATAAGACTGGCCATTGGCTTTTGTGGAGAAGCAACGGCGCAGTTTCAGTAGACGGCAGAAGAGATGAAATGCGAGAGCCACGAAGCGTTATCATCTAAATTCTAAAGCAACAGATTAAGCGCCACATCTCAGCTCTGAAGAAGTTATGGCATCAAAAGCAGCTGATCATGCGCAAAATCTCAGCTCTGAAGAAGTTAAGGCATCAAAAGCAGCTGATCAGACGAAAATTCTCAGCTTTGAAGGAGTTGAGGCATCAAAAGCAGCTGATCAGGTGCAAAATCTCAGCTCTGAAGAAGTTAAGGCATCAAAAGCAGCTGATCAGGTGCAAAATCTCAGCTCTGAAGAAGTTGAGGCATCAACAGCAGCTGATCAGGCGCAAAATTATTAGATTGGAAGCTGTTGGGACAACAACATGCAGCAGCATTCTTTTTTTAATTTTCAGTAAAAAGATATTCAGCTCTTAAGAGAAAATGTCTTCCATACCAATACTGGGAACTTCGTCAGGCAAGCGACTTCCGTCTATAGTGGAAGCCATTTTTAGTTCTCTGAGATTCATGACTGCACTTGTCATTAAATTCGACCATGTATAAAAGACAGGAATTTGTGTAGGACTAGGAAGTCGAATGATTGACTCCGAGCCTCCATCACGCTCTGATGTATCTTTTCCTGACAAAAAACTCTAAATAAATATTGAGTTTCATACACGAATCGAATAAATAACTGAAATAGTGGTAAAATTTGCTCTGTGTACGCGTATTTTGTTATTTGAAAATTTTATTACATTCTACAGAAGAATCCATTTATGGAATTTTTGCAAATCCAACTTGAACTAGAAAATTATTGAATGTAACGACAGAAATAAGATATGTTTTAAAGTAATACCCAGCATATTTTCAAATGTTTTAGTTTGCTGAATAATTAGCCCCATGAACATCATAAAAGATAAATCATACATTGATACTATGGAGTCTCAATCGATTGTAGGGATTGTTTTCACCCTGCGGTTGTCTGCTGTTGGCGGCTACTTTCAATTGATGAACTAATTTATAGTCCATATTCATTTTGTTCTGTACGTTGCGTTTGAGCGATGCTCCACTGTAGAAAGAAGTAGCGACGGGTCTCAATAACAGGATTGCTTTACCCAATTCAGAATTATGGTCGGATTTCAGTGATCAACGAACAACCAATAGTCACGTCTACGATAATAATTATTCTACGATTATTATCTGCTTGACGACGACTTTAGTGCAGCGCTGCCATTAGAAGCTTGAATTGTGACAAAAGTTAATGGTCTGTTATGACGAAATCGGAAAGAACGACGTCGCAAAGCTTTCAATTTAAATGGTTCTGTTTATCAAAAAAATTTTAATTATTAGTTCTTTTGTGTAAACCTTGAAATTTCTTTTTAGATTGAGAAAAAGTAATTTTTCCTAATCTTTATAATTTTGCTTACAACTATAAAATTTAAAACTATGAAACGCCAAACCTAGAACTATTTTTCTTCAAGCACTCATTTGCTTGCTTCATTTCAATGCAAACTTTAAACCCACAATGTCGAGCTAAAATAAAAGGCCACGTGACTAATCATGAGGCAGGCAAATTACAACTGAACTCGCAAATATTTTCACGCGTTTAATATTCCGTTTTGAAAAAGGAAAATTCAAGAACCAACAGTCCATAAGTAAGGCCGCCTTACTAATGGACTAATATAAACGTTTTACCAAGGCGTTTAAATATTTCCAGGGCGCGTAATGAAGGATGTTAGAATAATAAAAAAGTAAAGCCACTATGCATTCAGGCTTACACTGCTTCAGAACAATCAATCAAGAGTTGAGGAAACGTTGATAGATCCTGCAGGCGTAATGCAATCAAGCGGCGTGCGCCAGAATGCCTGGGCTCTCATCCTACGACTGCGGCATCTCAGGTTCAGCGACTCAAGATCTACGATGCCCTGAGTATAGCCAGCCCAGCACTTACATGTCAGACGTAAAACTATCTTAAAAATACGTGACCATGTTTATATTTTTGGGAATTTGACAGCAGGCCAATGTGAAGTGTCAGGATTTAAAAGAAATTAGGAAATTAATTTGTGGTTATTAATCGAGGTTCAATCACTAAATTTTTCATATGAAACAGTTTGCCTCCACAGCACACACAAGTCACACACATGAAAAATTTGCATCCACAACACAA